AGGAATAAGGATTTGTAATGTAATTTCTAGTTGATGTTAAAGACTGATATGGGCTTCATGCCAAAATCTCTTTTATGATTTGGTAAAGTGAGCAAATGATTATATATATATGAATTAATAGGACTTTCTTAAAACCTGAAGAATCTAATATTTTTCAGAGAGAGAAAAACTTAAACTAATTAGTTGCCTCAAGATGTTCTTCATATCAAAAGAAAATTTGAAGATGCATATCACAAACTAAAAAGAATATTGTAAAAAATAATGATTGAGGACAAAGGAAAAATGACTAGAAAATTTAGAAGGAATTTGTAAGGTGAGAGAATAGAAAAATAGAACCTTTTTCTTATTTTAGTGTACCTGGGGCTTATTTTTAACTTCAAAAGCACAGATGGTTACAACTAATTATTAAGAGGGCCTTATTTGTGTCAAAGTCAAAGAGCATGAAGAGATTAATGTACTTTTTGAGCCAAATGATTGTTACATCACAAAATTCATCTATGGAATTTTTAAAGGGAATGGAAAAGCATGAAAGAAAAATATAAGAAACAAAACTAACATAAAAGGGATTGAAACAAAAGTAGAAATAAAACTTTTAAATGGAATAAAAATGAGAAGAATATAAAAGATATAGAAAAGTATAAAACAAAGAGCAAAATCCTCAAATTTTAAGCTTTTCCCTCCTCATTTTATACTTATATCATGCCAAGTGACTTTAAAGTCATAATTAGCATGATTATAGGGAATGAAAATTGCCTCCACCACAGAATACAATTATAGATGACAATGTATAGCAATAGGTTAAGCAATCAAAGATAAACTCAAACCATATTAATCAACACAAAGAGCTCCTATTATAAAAATGAGCTTAAAAGTAAACATTTAGTGAGTTGATATTGAAAATAATAAGCCTTGTGATAAGGATGGAGGGATTGTTTTATTCAAGTGAGGGGCCCTCCATTACTCATGCACTCCTTGTTTCTAGGAAAAATTAAATTCTTCCATTACAATAACACTAATAAAATGTTATTGACACTAAGAACTTACATAAAAAATACTAATATGGGAAATGTCAATAATGTTAATATATGTGACCAACATTGTCATAGGCATAATAGTGAATACTATAGATATGACCACATCTTTATCCTTGTCCTTGAACACAAATAATACCATCCCTCACAAGAAGGAGAGTTGAAAAACATGCAATGAAAAATTTAATATTTCATAGCATTACACTAGTTGAAGAGCATTGTTAAGGGTGCTTAGAGCAAGTGCATGAATAATTTTCATAAAGTTATGAAGAGTTAGCCACAACATACCTAATTTGATCTATTTTGATATACAAAGTAAGAGGTTTTATATTGATAATTGTGATAATGCCTTTCAGCAATTGCATTGTATTTTTTAAGGTTCATTTTTATCCAAATGTACATTTGAAAACATCTAAAAATTCCACATAAGTTGTTAACATTAAATTATTTTACTATTGTAAAGATATCTTGAAAAAAAGTGGAAAACTTACGCAAATACCAAGTATTGTCTTAAGAATGATAGATGGTAATTAGATCAAAGTAGTGGTATATATTATTCTTAGGTTTCCATAAAAGAAATTTGGCCAAACTCAAAAATTGGTAATAAGAGTGGGAGGAGTTTGCCATATGCAAGTGAGTTTAATTTTTTGATTGCATTTATAACATTAAGCTCATTTCCAAGATCAAAACCACTGTTTCTAAGTTCTTCATTGAACCTGCTGTCCAAAGTTTCAAAAATAGTATTCACTTATTTTCTTTAACTTTTCTTCTTTTAATCCATGACTGAGTAACATACTCTTCCTTTGAAACAGCCTTAAGAAATTTAAATAATAAAAATTCTAGATATAATTAAATAAATGTAAATTTAAATGCGTTTTAGGGACAATCAAAGGTGCCTCTCACCTTCATCAAAGTGAGTGTTTGAAATACAAAAATGTGCATGATCAAAACTTTAATTTATACAAAAAAGTAAATGGTTTAAATATCATAATCCCACTACATTAATAATCTATAATAATAAGAACAAAGGGTCCAGACCCTGCAACAGTCCGATCCCAGGCCTAGGGCAGCCTCAGAAGCTATAGTTCTTGGGAAGGGGAGGCCACCCCAAGCCCAGGCTAGGGCCAATGGCCATAGTTAGCAGGAATATCAACTCAATGTTGTGGCAGCCAATGGGAGGGATGCACGTGTGGCCAGGAAGGGAAGAGGGCATGGTGACAGGTGTTACACCATGCACTCCTAGGGCTCTATGGCTGCTTTGCTTAGACACAATTGTGTGGGCATTCCTGTGAGAGTCTCTACATCTGTAAGCTCCTAGAGGAGGTGCTCATAGGGATAACAGGGACAAGTAGAATGGTAGTCGAGCACACAATCCAGCCTCCTTTCAGCTTCAACTCACTTGCGAGCGGTGAGTGAGCAGCACCACAGGCAAGGCTGGTGAGGGAGTGTGCTAGAAATGAAGAGCTTTGGAGCTGACTGGCACCATGGCAGCGGGTGTGGGTGATGCAAGGTATGCAAGTGACCTGAAGGTATGTGTGACCTGAAGGCATCAAGGGAGTTCTTTGAGCTGTCAAAGGACGGGAAGCTGAAGTAGCACAGCTGGTGTTTGCTCCGCCTGGACGTATCTGAGCATCAGGGTCGTCCATGAGACAACGTTGTGCCTCTCCATCTGGCATCCGGTTGAAGACTCTCCACACATCCACCTCTTTGTAAACTACTTAGCATTTGCTGGGCAAATACTTCTAATATATAACATCATACTTGGACCTCTAATTTAAGTGCACATTATTTGAAACTAGGTTTATTAGATCCCATTGTTTAACGTATGAAACACGTCAGGGAGAAAGAGAGAACTAGAGCCTGGCAGCGATGCGGATTCTATCAATGTCTGTCTCAACGTGACTCCTGTTGATCTCGCTCACTTTGGTGCACCCGGCCAGCGCCATTGCAATCTCGAATTCGTCGCGTAGCATCTGGAGGACTTTTCTCACTCCAGTTTCGCCGTGAACAGCGAGAGAGAACACGACGGGCCTTCCAATCTATAGACAGAAAAAGAGTTAAGCAACAAGAAGCAAGCAAAATGGAAAAAAGAAGAGATTTATAGTTCTTACAAAAACTCCAGCAGCTCCAAGAGCCAAGGCTTTGAGAGCGTCAGTTCCTCTGCGAACGCCTCCGTCCAAGAACACGGGAACTCTTCCAGCGGCAGCTTGCACAACCTGCGCGGATTTCATCATTTCATCTCAGTTTCCAGGGAGAACCTGATTACCTCTTCCAGCGCGCTGATTGTTGCCGGCACGTAATCGAGCTGTCGAGCTCCATGGTTTGAAACGATGATCCCGGCTGCTCCAGCCTCCACAGCGATGTGTGCTGCATCATAGCCAAGAAAAATCCGATCGAACTTCTTTTGAATTTCTCTCTTCTTTTGGCTCACCGTCTTCGGCTGTTATAACTCCTTTCACGAGGATCGGAAGGCTAGTGATTGTTTTCAGCCACTTGACATCCTGTTCCGGGAAGACTTCCATTACAAAGAGCAAAATAGTTTGCAAAGAGAGTTCTCACCTTCCAGCTCAGAGATCTATCGATCTGTCCCGCAACGTAGGTGGCTAGTCCAGAATCTTGAGACTATAACCATAAACCAAATTCCAGCGTTTCGTTCTTCCCGATTCTTTGACTATTACCTTGTCCATCTTCCCGAGATCCAGTCCATCGAAGTTCTTAAGGGTCAAGTGACCCGGTAGAACAAATCTGCAAAGAAAGCCGCGAGTGTAAAAATCAGGAACACATTGAAAACTTGAAGAGATTTACCTGTTCTTAATGTCCGATTCTCTACGTCCAAGCCTTGGCGTGTCTACTGTTAATGCAATGGCCTTAAAACCAGCTTTCTCAGCTCGTCGGACCAGCTGAGCCACAACGTTTCTATCCTTGTAAACCTGGAGAGAAAAGAAAAACCACAGAAAAAGCTAAGTTTTCCACCAAGAAAAAGAACAAGAATTTACTCACGTAAAGCTGGAAGAATCGAATTCCTGGACCAGTTGACGCGACTTCCTCCACGCTACTAGTAGCCCAAGACGAGAGCGTCTGAGAAAAAACCACCAGCCAAAGTAAGAGAAGAATTTCTCGAGCTCAAAGTTCTAAGCAAGTTCTTGAGATAAGTTACCATTATAGTTCCATGGGATGATACTGCTCTTGCCGTTGCAAGCTCACCTAGATGATACACGATCGTTTACATAAACTGTGAAGCTTGATCTCACAAAAGTTTTTCTACCTTCTGGATGGGCCATTCTTTGAAACGCGGTCGGCGCAACCATGATGGGCATTGAGATCTTAAAACCCAACACGGTGGTAGTCATATCCACATTCGTCACGTCCACCAAGATTCGTGGACGAAACCTACGACGAACAAATTCCCAGCGAAGATTATCTCAAAGAAGGAAAATCACCGCCTAGCGCAGGCAAGCCTCGAGACAATTCAATGCCACCGATCGAAATCACCCAATCCAGCTCGAGAGAATTTACCTGATTCGCTCAAAGGCGGTTCTATTCTCTTTGAGCGTCCACTGATCCTCGGCGCCGGAAGCGTAGTAATCGAAGGCCATCTTGGGCAGCCGCTGCTTGGCGAGCTCCTCGTACTCGGTGACATTGGTGATCTCCTCGATGTTCACCATCGCCCTCTTCCTTCAACCAAAGCAAAGAAGAAAAAAAAAAGAGGAAGAGAGGAAAAAACTTGGAAGGAGAACACTATCTTGAAGCCGCGACCAAGGGAAATTGTGGTTGACAATAATTCATCTAACATCTGGGGCATATTCGCAGTGATCTCTAGTTTGCTTATACGAGCTCTCACCTAAACGCTCGAAAGACAGCCAGGCTATGGGAAGCAACGCTGCCACGTGGTCGGTGTGGATAAGACACACCCGTCGCCATGTTATCTCAAGCTTTAGCTTGTGATCGAAAAACTATTCTTCGCTAGAAAAAAACTTGATAGTTATCTCTTGAGAAGATTTCTAGCAAAACCATGGTTTATTTACAAAAAGATGGGAGATCTTCAAGCATGGCATCGTCCTCCACATTGAGGACACATGATTCTTCCAGCGCCACCGCAACCTGTGATTGGACAAGACAATAGATCCTCGAGAAAGAGAAAAGAGTCCCAGGCTTACCCAAACATCGGACTTTTGCGATGATCCCTTGGCTCTCTAGAATGGACTCCACGTACAGTCCCGTCCCCGAGCATGTCAAGCACTGCACAGAGCCACTGGATCCACACCGAGAGCAGCAAGCAGCTGGATCACCGCCCAAGACATCTCTGGCGTCCTTCCCGGCGCGATCGCCATCCAATTGGCCGTTGTTCTTCAAAAAGAGGAGGAGAAAACTAAGGATCGATTAACTGGAGCTGGAGCTTTACCTTGGCGGCGATTGGATGGGCCGCATTGGACGATCTTAGCTTGACGCTACGGTGGCGCTCTTGGAAATTGCGGCGCCCAAATCGCCACTGAGAGAATCCGGGCGAGGAAATCGGGAAGAGCATGGCTGCCGCCATCGCCAGGGCTGCGTGCTTCTTTGTCACCCAACACTATTAGGGAGAGTCCACGGTCCACGGTCCGCGGCCTATAGTCTGCTGGCGGACTATCTCATGCAAGAAAAATGTTGACCTCATTGACCACATTGACCGAGCGTTGACAACGCAACAAGGAGTTTTTCTTATGGGCCATTTATAAATTTGTAGTACTTTTGCTGATCAATCGAACAAGCCTGGGTTCAACCAATCCCTGAAAAAATTTGTAAGAATTTTGATAGCTACAAATGAAACCATCTCGTCTTACTTGCTTATATCGTCCAAATGATCGTCAAAGTCTGTGACACTTTGCTCCCTCCCTTCCAGGATGTAATCGTAGAGAATCTCGTTCGCGGTGGATTCGGCGAGGACGAGATCACTGCTTCCTGGTGCCGAGCGCCATCCTCGAGAGGAATCGCGTGTAAAAAGCTGTGAGAACTCTTCAATCTCAGCTCAAAGCCAAAGAGGGACATGACAAGGATCGACGAAACTTGCCTGGACAGCCGGTTTTTTTCCGGCTTTAGCGAGCGACTCTAGCAACCTGTTGTCTAGCTGAAGAGAAGTTAGAAAATTTCTAGCACGAAGCAGAAGGAAAAACAAAGGATCATAGCCTCACCAGAAGGACGCAAGCCGAGGAGAAATAGCGAGCAATGTGATCGCCAATCTTTCGAGGGATTCCACTCAGATCGTAGTCGTCAAATCGCTCATTCGCATGGTAGCATCCAACAATGCTAAGGCCCTCTTGATGGGAGGAAAAATACTCTTCGATCTAGGATCAAAAGTAGAAAAAAACCATTCTTTCTGGAGGAAGAATCGCTTACCTGTGTCAAAGCAAGCTCTAGCATGGGAAGCAAACCCAACTGGCCGTGAAAGAGGGGCACACAGTCCACAATCGAGACGGTAGAGGCGGAATCCTCCTCCGCCCCTCCGCCGCCGCCCCCGCCGCTTACTCTGCCGACTAGAATCCCATTCACAGCTGCTGATCTGTGCTTGAGGGCGTGGAGCGCAAGCTTGACGTAGGCCGTCTGGGAGATCTGGTACTTCATTCTCGACCAGATGGGAAGAGCCCTAAATTTCTTGTCAAAATATTTCTAGGGTTTATGCGACGACGCGATGCCGAGATCGGGATTTTGGAAGGATCAGCTGCTCAAGGCGGCGGAGAAGATGTGCCGCAACCGGATGAAGAGTAACAGGGCCAGGGTTGTGCTGAATGGCGAGAAGATCATCATGGGCCGGGCCAAGCGTGGCATTTTCGCTGGTCGCCACATCCAGTTTGGGAACAAAGTGAGCGAGAAGGGGGGTAACAAGTAAGTATCAAGCCTGCATTGTGTTCTTGGTCTTCTTTTTTCTTCTTGTGCATTACTGTAAGCTTCCAGTAAAGATTGGTCTTTGGTTTGCTAGGAAGATTTCTAAAGGATTTCCTGACGAGCTTTTGGAAGTTTTGGCATTGTGTTCTTGTCCCTTCTTTTTTCTGCTTTCTGGCTGAATTTGTGCTAGTGTGCATTGATAGTTAATTGGTTTTGATGCTCGGAGGATTTCCAAAAGCTTTTTTGACGATCAAAAGAGTATTTTTTGTCTCACTTATTGTGTTACCTGATCGTCGTTCCCAAGCATAGAAACAAAGAAAAAGCGTCCTAGCTTGCATTAGCAGAACCATCAGCTCTAAATTGATCGAGCTTTTGTTTGCCTTGCCTTTGACGATTGTTTGCATCAGTGCTAGTCATTCCGATTGTAGCTCTTTCATATTTCTCACAAAGGCTGATGATCTCAAACTTTTCTACCTTCGCAGGACTCGGCGGACATGGAAACCCAACGTTCGGCTCAAGCGTCTCTACAGCTTCAGCCTTGACAGATTCATCCGCGTGCACGTCACCACCCACGCCCTCCGCTGCATCGACAAGGCCGGGGGGCTGGACGAATACCTCCTCAACAAGCCCGACCACAAGCTCGAGAACGATCTCTGCCTCTACTGGAAGCGGGAGCTCCAGACCATGAACAGGTTCCTCTTCAAGCTCCAGTGTGGTAACGTCCCCCCGGAGCTCCACAAGGAGGTCCTCCATGCCTACGTCTCTCGCATGGCTTCGCGGCGAGGCCTCGCGCAGACCAAGCCGATTGTGATCCAAGAGGCTGAGGCTGCCGCTGCCGCCGCTAGTGCCGATGCCGCGATTGACGAAGAACCATCCGAGCACAGCGAAAGAGAAGAAGAAGATAGCAGAGGGAAGAAGAAGAAGAGGTTTGTGACGCCCAGGCTCAACATGGCTGGAGGAGGGAACACGCTCTTCTACGGCAAATGCAAGAGCAAGCGAGGAGTTCCTGGCAAGAGTGGAACCAAGAGGCGTCTCCGGCAAACCAACAAGTGGGCCTGACAAAAGCTATCAAAGAACGGAAGAACGATTGTTGGCCCTTCGATCAAAAGAGCAGGCTCGAAGACCCAGATGAAGACCTCGAGCTCCTCTTTAAGACGCTTGGACCTCAACAAAAACGACTGCTTGAGACTTTGCGCTGCGTGATCCAGTTTTTGGGAAGAATAGAGGAGAGAGATTAGGGTTTAGAAGTTCCCGGTAGTTTAGGGCAACGTGTCCTAAACTGAAGATTAGATTATAAAGGTGACAATATGTAAATGGAGCATATTCCAGAATTTAGGGTTTGAGCGAGAATGTGGGATGTGGGTATGGCTGAGGGAAATTTCGAGCCGCCAGGTACGCTCCAGGATTTCTCGCTGCCAGTTCCTCCACGACTCGGCAGCGCGATCGCCCCGGGAATGGCCGGCGTCGGAGCAGCAGCAGCAGCCGCAGGAATCCTTGATCGAGCGGCGGCGGCGGGAGCATCTGGCCGCGAGGCGAGCGCGGCGGCAGCAAGAGGCCCGCCAAGAGTTCCCGGAGACGGTGGACACGACGAGGAAGAGGATGACCAAGGCGGAGAAGAGGAAGTGGAAGAGGGCGGGGGGCCATCACGAGCTGCGGCGCAAGCGAGAGCTAGGTGGGGAGCCGCCGATCTACCAGTGGCAGGCAATGCCGGCGGCGGAGCTCCTGGAGGAGCAAGGATTGGGTGAGCTGCGGATGATCAGCACGCGAGCGATGCCTGGAGGGCCGACCGAGCGTGACAATTGCCTCATCTCCGCCAACATGCCATTCCCATACCGGACGCGGCAGCAGAAGCTGGAAGAACACGCGAGGCTCATGGCGACGATCCGGCACGACGTGAGCGTCGTGGAGGCCGAGAACGCGAGACACAAGTGGAGCCGCGAGGCCCCCGATAAGCTCCGCCGCTGGCAGCGCGACTACATTCTTATGGAGCTCTACAAGGAGGAGAAGAGGGAGAAGCAGGCTGTGAAGGTGGCCGAGAATATGAGTGAGGTGGAGAAGAGATATAGCCGGCGGGTGCAAGGCTTGCCAGAGTCGGATGACGAGGAGGAGAGGGTCCCCTGGCGATCGCCAGAGATTTTGAAGCGATTGAGGAGGAAGAAGCCCAAGAGGATACAGCCGCCACCTTTCCATTCTCTGTGGGTGAAGCGACCCAGGAACTTGAATGCTGTATACACCGGAGTGCTGCCGGAGGAGATGGACAATCCAAGTCGCAGTGAAGATCATCAGCAAGAGAGTGGCTTGGAGGAGGGAGAAGAAGAAGGGGTAGAAGAGGAACAGGACGAAGGAGCGAGACAAAAAGCTCCAAGGACGGAGGAAGAATTGTCAGCTCGAGAGGACCGGCGGTTTGACAGGTTCCAGAGATACGTCGAGAAGCTGGTTCCACGGTTTGAGGATCATCCTAGCGAGGTACAAGCTTCTTCACCGTCGCTGGTAGAAGCCGTGGAGAGTGGTGGTACTACCACTCAGCTGGCGGTCGTCAAGCCAACTTACGAGGTTCCTCCGCTTATTCCTGGGCGTGGAGCAGTGATCGTTGCGAGCTTGTCCGAGATCCTCAACGCTGGAGGACCTTGGGACAAAGACAAAGTAGCGACACTGGAGAAGTTCAAGCACGCCAAGATTCTTCCTTACCAGGTGTGCGAGGTGCTCAAGCGAGTCAGAGACTGGCGGGTGGCTCTCGAGTTTTTTACATGGGCCAAGTCGGTCCCTTTCTTCAAGCACGATGCGATGAACTACTCGATGATGATCCGGGTGCTGGGAACTTGCGGGAACTACACACAGGGTCGAAAACTATTCGACGAGATGCGTGAGAAGGGCCTCAAGCCGGATCTCGTCACGGTGAACAACATGATAAAGTGCTACGGCTGTGCAAATCGGGTGGACGACGCCATGGACTTGTTCAGGGAATTTCCGGACTTTGGCTTCGAGCCGGACGTTTGCACGTATGCTCTTCTCATCGACTTGCTGGGGAAAGCCGGGCGAGTGAGCGAAGTGAGGAAGCTCTTCCTCGAGCTACAGTCCAGGAAGCTCAAGCCCGACGAGTACGTCTTTAACAGCATGATCGCCAACTTCAGCAAGTGGAAAGACTTGGGCCTGGCCGACGAGGCTCTCGACTACATGAAAGTTTGCGGCATCCGTCCCTCGACGGTGACTTACGCAATCGTCCTCAACATGTACGCAAAGTCGCTCAACTTCATGCTCGCCGAGAAGATCTACTGCGAGTATCTCAACTCCAACTTGCCGCCGGACTTATACGTCTACAACAACGCTATTCTCTTCTTCGGCCTTGCCGGTCGCTGCCGGGAGGCGGAGTGGGCCGTGGAGGACATCGAAAAGGCCGGCCTGGTCCCGGACAAGTTCTCATACTGCACGATCATCAGCGCTTGGGCCAGGCAGGGGTGTGCTCCTGATGCGAAGAAATGGTTCGACAAGGCCAGGAGCCGGGGGATTACTCCCAGTCCCGAGATGTGCAACGCTCTCATCGACGCTTACATCAAAGCACTCGACTTGGAGCCAGTGGCAGCCATTCTCGACGCGATGCCGGGGTGGGGTGTCAAGGCGACTCTACAAACTTACACGTACCTCTTCAACTATTACTGCGAGTGCTGCAAGGAGTACGTGGATCTCTTGCGGGATTACATGCGCAAGACTGGGCACCCGGCGGATAAGTTTCTGGAAGACGTCCTGGGAGGCAAAGTCCCGCTCCAGCAGCTCCGGAGGGTGTCACAGCGTTTCTTCGACAGCCTGAGGCTGGAGAGGTCGGGGTGGGCGTCCAAGTTCGCGGACGCGCTCGTCCACTACCTCCAGACGTATGGCTACGAGGCGGAGGCGCACGAGATCTTCGCGGCGGCGGCCGCCACCCGGCTCTTCCGGAGGAACCTGTGGGAGAACGCGAACGATCACTGGTTCATATGGCTGGTGGACATGGACGAAGGCACGGCGCTTGTGGGGCTCAAGCAGGGATTGCTCATCAGCAGGGACAAGCTCCGCAAGGAGCCGGCGAGGAGGCCGGCCATGGCGACGGTGGTGACGGGGTTTGGCAAGCACAGGGAGACGAGGAGCGCGCTGGCGGTGAGGAGCGCGCTCGAGGAGCTCGACTCGCCGTTCCGGACGGATCTCGTCTACGCCAGGCTCGAGAGCCGAGGGGACTTGTTTGCCGAGTGGCTGGCCGGGAACAAGATCGAGCTAGACATTCCGTTCAATCACCCGGACTACGTCTATCCGCCAAACACGCGGGTTTGCCTGAGATTTACCAACTTGTGAGCTTTACCAATTCATATTTCTTCCTATCTAAAAGAGTAATGGTTTGTTTCACTTGTCAAGAACGATGTGCTATGCATTTCATGCTCGCGCAAAATCTATTTTCCAGGGCCTCATCAAAAAGATGATCGACAATGATCCGGCAAAAGAGAATAACACTGGACGAGTTTTAAGACGATCTTTCTTGCAACACCACCACAAACAAGCGCTCAAACAAAAATTGTAACCAAATGAATAAATTGCCTCAATAATCGTTTCCATACCTCTGGATCTCTGAGGTGGAGGCCTTCAATAGCAAAGAAAGCTCGCCTTGTAACACACACTCGGCAATGTACCGGCGCTCTGGTCTCAAAGCAGTAGCTTCCAGGCTCTAGGAAAGAAATCCAGTAAGAAAAACTAGAGACTTGAACGTAAGAAACTTGCCTGGATTGCTCTTTTGTGCTCATCCGCGTGAGCCTCAATGAGAGCGAGAAGTAGGTTCGTAGCTCGCTGCTCTTTTCTTCTGTCATGCCTTGGCCGGGATGCGAAGGGCACAACGCCATAAACTTCCGATTCTCTGTTTAGCTCCTCCAAGTCTAGTGCGCAAAACAAGAGATGTAAAAGAGAGAAAACGCTCCAGCGACATTTACCAGCCAAAGAATCCGACGTGATGATCCGAGCGAACGCACGCGCAGCGGAAGGAACTACCACTTCTTTCCCGCCTCGGCTGGTCACCTCCCTGTTCGAAAAAAATCCACTAGAGTGACTCGGAGAAACCTTGCAAATGCTTACTACCCTACATTATAGTGAACGGCCGTCCACCGGTTTGAGTGCCATTCGAATCCTGCAATGTGTTCATGTTGTTTTGCGCCATGTACTGGAGTTTGATCTCGCGAAGAGGGTCTTCAGATGGGATCTCCAGGAAGATCTCAGCCTGTAACGAAGCAAAGATATATGAGCTGGTTTCAAGAAATCGAAGCAGGAAAACCTCGTCGAAAGGATTGTCGGGAACAACAAAGCCGTAGTCCAGTGCTAAAACTGCGTTAGAATGGTCACCATAACAAATGTGAACCTTGAGGTGGAAGTTCTCTTAGCCCGGAAAAATATGTGTGTCTTAAGTTACACTTACTTCGTCTCCAGTTTGGTAGTCTCGAGATGCTACGACCTGCGACACACCACAAGGATATATGAGGTAAGGAACACCAAAAGAATGAAGAGCCTTACTACTGTACAATTGTCGTCTGCGTGAGAAAAAAGTGTCCGGGACCGCGGATCGTGATTGGCAAAATCGACAAGAGGAATCTGCAAAAAAACGTGATAACTTTCAGTCCATGCTCGAAGGAAAGATTTAGATACCATTGTCATGTCACTGTGAGGCCCTTGACCCCAAGCGCGAGAAGAAACTGCAAGACGAACAGAAAAAATATCACGGAAGAAAATCATCTAGCTCGAGAAGCTAACCTGTTGCATACTCGTGCTTGAACTGTTCAAGCGACACATCTGGATCGTATAAATGCGGACAAGACTCTACAACCTGGTAGTATAAGATGAAAAACGCAGACAAGACTAGAGAAAACTATCTTACTTTTTTCACTTCCCTGTACTCCGATTGTAAGAGGGCGTTTCTCTCGCCCGTCCCACGATGTATAGGACTGCATTCGAGGCAAGCCAACTCTTTCGGGTCCCAGAAGATCTATGCATTCACTTCCAAGTTTAACGAATTTGCAAGCAGCAGCGGGACTTACAGTGCTGTGAATTTCACCGAAGGACGGTAGACATTCGATGTAAGGTGCCCACGCCGAGTTCTTCACGGAGATTTCTTAACGATAAGAAAGTAGAAGAGAGAGAAGAAAAAGAAAGGAGGAACCAATTACCTGGCCTTTGCGTTTCTCGGCCATGACAAGAAGTGAGACCCGCGTAAACTCGTTTGCTTGATCCAACAAGGCAATCACTTCGCAGGGAAGTTTTTCAGGAGTAAGCACCTGCCTTTGGAGTTAAAAACACTTGTATATTCCAGGAGCGCAAGAGCTACTGTTATCTCTCGTGAAAGAGCGACATACCAGATCTTGTGAGAACTTGATCATGCATTCGCCGGCACACATTGGTCGATGAGCGAACAAAGCCCTGCACGAAAACAAAATCGAGGCAAAAGAAGCAGGCAAAAAGAAAACGATAGTCTTCTTCTCCATACCTCCCGTGTTTAGACATCCCAATGGCGACAGCAATGCTGTTCATATCTTCGCCGCGGCTTCTTAGCCATGACATAAACTCTAGATGCGTTCGCGAACTACCTAAGTTCTAGAACATCCAAAGGTTACAAATAATTCATTCGGAGAGTACCTGGGCATAAGCGTGTATGCGCGTGGAGCAGGAGAACCTGCGGCCTAGCCCCGCATTTCCATCGATCGCCAGGCAAAGGGCTCTCGCCCACATTCTTGGGACCTAAAACCCTAAACCTCGAGATTTTAGAATTTTTATTTCATTAATGTATTTTAAAGTAAAAATTGTGCAACATTAATACACTTTAACCGATAAAAAATTATTTATTTAATTATTAATGTGCAAACTTAGCACAAGGTAAAACAAAATATTTTATTACCTGATTATATATAAATGTATAAAAAAGAATAATAATAAAATGGTTATATCAATTCAATAAAAAAGTAGTTTTTACTATTTTAGTAAAAATATTTCTAATATAACAATTTTCATATTGTCATTTTATTTGATATTGTGAATTTAATCAAAATAATATATAATTAAAAGATTTGAAGGATATCAAACCTTTTACTTTTACCATCACAGTGAAAAATAAATAAATCCCCAAGAAAATAAATATAAAGTATATTATAATCTTATAATAAATTTTAATAATACTTAAGATCTAATATGTCACACTCAAATCCCCACCTTTAAGTTAATTAAAATAAAATTTATAATAATTAAGTTGAAACTTACATTTAATATGTGTTCATAATAGATGAAATATATTTTGTTGAAGTGAACAAAATTAAACACTTATTTATAATTTTTTAACTAACAACTTACCTGAATTGCGTAGCAATTGATAGCTTCTGTTCAAAGCCATAGTTACGATGCAGGAAACAAATATAATGTTTACATTCATTAAAAATACTTTTTTATAAATTTAAAGTATTTAAAACATTTTTACAATTTTGAATGTTTTATTTCAATTAAAAAATTAATGCATTTTAAAGTTGTAATGTAAATAATGATCAATACTTCAGAAAAAAAAAAGGTAATGAGAATATGGTGAGAGATATTAAAATATAAATAAAAATATAAAAATATTACAAACTTATTTTTCATGTTAACTAAGGATTTACAAAATGATGTTTATCAATTGCTTAATTTTACAATTTATTTCACTATTAATGAAAAATAATTTAAACTAAAGTTTTTTCTTTGTGTGATTGTGATGAAGATTGCATTTGAACGAGATATACTAAAATATATAATTTTATAATAATGAAGATAATTGTATTTAAAGAAATAAATTTTAACGTTTTAATAAAAATTGATATAAAAATAAATGGAACAATTAGATTTATAATATAACGATCACAGTATGGAAAAAATAATATATTTATAAATTAGTTACTAAGTCCTTCAACAGAGATAGGTTTGGCTAAAATAATTTAATAAATTATTTCAGAAAAAATAAGTGGTTTTTTCTATCTTTCAGAAAAAAAATTCTGTATAATACAATTATTTTACTGTATAGAACACCAGATTATATAAAATCATATCTTCAACTTGATAGTGCCATGCTTAAATAGTTCTGATTTGAATTTTTCATTTGCATGTAAATTGTCCTTTTTGTGATCTTCCGTTTCTTTTGTATTGAGAGTTGCTACAACAATACATGTTCCTTTTACAGGATGAGCCAATTACAGCAAATTCCAGGTTCGTTTCCACTGTCATCCATTCCATTTCTCTCTCCCAAATAATCCCAACCTCCCAACCTCTCACATGCAAGGAAGTTTTAAACCACAATGGGATCAAGTTTTGAAAAGTTCAAGTGCAATTTGATGATCGTAATGTCCCTCCTACATTGAAATCACAAGCAAGCCAAGCGTTGAATCAAAGAAAATAAAAGCGCTAGAATTCGTCCCCGAGAGCTCCCCGTGATCTGAAAATCAGAGTAGAAAAAACTTAAAAAAGGAAGAGATATCATGTGTGTCAACATCGATGTGAAACCTCACCTATCCTGTGTGTCTGCGTTTGCTCTCACGTTCCCATTGGAAAAGAGAAGTTTGGTGGGAGCAAACACGACAAAACATCGCAGGTTCGATTCCTGCCACCAGGCTAGCGTCCGCCCGGACCTCACGCCGCCCTCAAATTCCAGTGGATATTTTTTCCCTCTCCACCGGACGTGAGCATCGCTATCACATTCGATGGACGGACGCCATCCCTCAAACCAATCCGGCTAAATCCAGCCGGCCTGATATATATTGGGCGTGGGTGCTGCGAGGGCTTTCCCTCTTTTTCCAAGCGCCAAGCCGTTCTTTCCTCGCCGCCAAGCGTTTTTCGACACTCCAGGTATGACTTCTTGCCTCGATTCGCTCCAATGTAGGCCACATTTCGATCGAAGATCGCAACCTACGAGCTCGATCGATCGAAATATCCTCTGAAGAGGGAGATCTGTGAGATTTCTAACGGGAATCGTGATTCTTTTCTTTTCAGCGCCTCCGATCATCATGCGTGAGATTCTCCACATCCAGGGCGGCCAATGCGGCAACCAGATCGGTGCCAAGTTCTGGGAGGTGATCTGCGATGAGCACGGGATCGATCCGACGGGGTGCTACCACGGCGATTCCGACTTGCAGTTAGAGCGGATCAATGTCTACTACAACGAGGCGACTGGTGGGCGCTATGTCCCGCGAGCTGTGCTCATGGATCTGGAACCTGGGACCATGGATAGCGTCCGCTCGGGGGTGTTTGGGCAGATCTTTCGGCCCGACAATTTCGTTTTTGGGCAGACTGGAGCAGGGAACAACTGGGCGAAGGGTCACTACACAGAAGGAGCCGAGCTTATCGACTCAGTTCTTGACGTCGTCCGAAAGGAAGCCGAGAGCTGTGATTGCTTGCAAGGTAAGGAGAAATCTGAATTATATAGTTTGTTCTTCACGTTCTTCTTTCTTTCTGAACAGGATTCCAAGTTTGTCACTCACTTGGTGGCGGCACGGGGTCCGGCATGGGGACGTTGCTCATCTCCAAGATCCGTGAAGAGTACCCGGACAGGATGATGCTCACCTTCTCGGTGTTTCCATCTCCAAAGGTGTCCGACACAGTCGTGGAGCCATACAATGCGACACTGTCCGTCCACCAGCTCGTGGAGAACGCGGACGAGTGTATGGTGCTGGACAACGAGGCACTGTACGACATTTGCTTCCGCACGCTCAAGCTCACCACTCCAACATGTAAGCTTCGGTCTCTTACCATAGTTGTTTGTCTCTAAGAATTTTTCTTTCTCTTGATCCAGTCGGAGATCTAAACCACCTCATCTCGGCTACCATGAGTGGAGTGACTTGCTGCCTGAGATTCCCCGGCCAGCTCAACTCGGACCTCCGCAAGCTGGCGGTGAACCTCATCCCGTTCCCTCGCCTCCACTTCTTCATGGTGGGATTCGCCCCTCTCACGTCCCGAGGCTCGCAGCAGTACCGAGCGCTCACAGTCCCGGAGCTGACGCAGCAAATGTGGGACGCCAAGAACATGATGTGCGCCGCCGACCCCCGCCACGGCCGATACCTGACCGCCTCGGCGATGTTCCGCGGCCGCATGAGCACCAAGGAGGTGGACGAGCAGATGATCAACGTCCAGAACAAGAACTCGTCCTACTTCGTCGAGTGGATCCCGAACAACGTCAAGTCGAGCGTGTGCGACATCCCTCCCAACGGGCTCAAGATGGCGTCGACTTTCATCGGGAACTCGACGTCGATCCAGGAGATGTTCCGGCGAGTGAGCGACCAGTTCACGGCCATGTTCCGGAGGAAGGCGTTCCTGCACTGGTACACGGGTGAGGGGATGGACGAGATGGAGTTCACCGAGGCGGAGAGCAACATGCACGATCTGGTGTCCGAGTACCAGCAGTACCAGGACGCGAGCGCCGATGACGAGTACGATGAGGAGGAGCCCGAGGAAGAGCTCCAAAGCTAGAGAGATTTGGAGGATCTCTCTTCATTGCTTATAACGTACGCGAAGAAGTTTGTAAATCAAGCAATTCAAAGCTGCTCTAAATTCCTATATCTCTGGCATCGTTTGCGTTACAAAAAATTAAAAAATCTGAAAAAGATGCCAGCCAGAACAAGTCAAGAGATTAAAATGACAAAGTCAAGACATTTGAACGATAGAATCAAAGACAAGTCAAGAGATTGGAATGACAAGATCAAATCTTAAATTTGATCCACAAAGACAATTCAAAGTTCTCCAAGATTTCCGAAACGTTCATAGATATAGACTGGAATTTAAGAGAAACAAAAGCTAACCTCCGATATATCAGATCAAGCTTCTACTGCGAGTTTGGTCTTAGGACGAACGACCGTGGTGTAGATCCCCTTGTCCAGCCCAACGTAGAACTCCTCGCAGTGCCTCCTCCAGTTGAGGTGATAGATCTTCCAGAGGGCACCACCTACATTGTGGCGTGGACGCGATTGGGAAAGAAGAATCCAGAGAGAACAAGATCACCATGGCAGTTACCTGCGAACCCTAAGGCCAGGCCGATTGTGAGCTCGCGAAGAACGTTGGGCGAGTGCTTCTTGTGGAAAGCCTCGGCCGCGGCCCTGGCGGCGGCGATCTTGGGCGAGATTCGGCGCCCTGCGAAATCATCCGGCTTCTTTGGCGGCGGCACAGCAGCGGCGGGACCATGCTGGGGCCTGGCGGGGGGCTTGGGCTGAGGCGACGCCATCTCTCGATCTTCTCGGTCCAACAAACGCGGAGGATAGATTGGAACCCTAGGCGATCAAGAAGCGCGCCAAGTGGCCGCCATGCAAAACTATGACCGTTGACCATTTTAAATATAAACTCAAAGCCCTAAATATTGACCAAGATCAAACGATTCTAAGAATATGCTTACGTCTCGCTGAAAATCATGGATGAGGGAATTTTTGGCGCGTCGCTTGCAGCAATGTAGCGCAGCGAGGGATTTGGCGGGCGGGCGGCGCGTCCACGCCGACATCTCCAGCGCCGACCTCGACCGCGATGCGTTCCTGGCGGCCATTCTCGTCCAGTTCTATGGCCGATGCGGCTGGGTGGAGGCGGCGCGGGCGGCGTTTGATAGGGCCTGGGGAAGAACGGCATTCTTGTGCTCCAGCTTGATCTCCGCCTATGGCGACAACGGCTGCCTTCTCCAGGCCCGGGACGTGTTCGATCGAATGCCACAGCAGAGCGTTGTCTCGGCCACGGCGGTCCTCAAGGCGTGCTCCAGCGCCGGGGATTTGCGGGAGGCGAGGTCGTTCTTTGATCGAATGGCTCACAGGAACATTGTCTCCTGGACTGTGCTCATCGCGGCACTCGCGCAGGGCGGGCATGTCGCGATCGCCAGGCAAGTTTTCCATCTCATACCCGCTTTTGATGTGATCTCATCCACTGCGATGCTTGCTGCGCTTGCCCAGAACGGGGAGATCCACCAGGCGAGGATGCTGTTCGAGTCGATGCCGGAGAAGAATGTCGTCTCATGGAATGCGATGATTAGTGGGCTCTCGGATCACTCCCTTCTTGGCGAGGCAAAGAAGCTGTTTGATGAAATGGATCAACGAGACGAGGCGTCGTGGAATTCAATGATCTCTTCAAATGCCAGGTCTGGGGATTTTGAATTGGCAGAGGAGCTGATGAGAAAGATGCCTAGGTGGAGCTTGATCTCCCAAAATGCGATGATCGTGTCATCCGGTAAGATGGAAGGCCATACTTTTCCAAAAAGAATCTTCGATTCGATTCACGAGAAGGATTCAAGTCAGTGGACTGCGATGCTCTCTGCATATGCCGGGAAAGGGGACATTTCCGAGACGCTGGATTTCTTTGAGAAGCTGCCAGAGTGGTCTATCGTCACCTGGACGATCATGACGGCAGCTCTGGCGAGAAATGGCCGGATCGAAGATGCCAAGCTGCTGTTCGATCGAGCACCGCGGGATCAGAGGGACGCTGCGGCTTGGAACGTGATGATATCGGCACTGCTCGAGTGCGATCTACACGAGGAAGCCTTCGGCATGGTCCAGGCTATGGATCTCGACGGTGTCCGTCCAAACAAGGTGACCCTCGTTGCCGCTCTCGAGGCGTGCTGTGGCTGCTCGTCCCTTTCAAGAGCAAAGACCATCCACTCGCTGCTCCGGGAGAACGATCACTTGGGCGATCCGGCAGTCAGAACAGCGGTCACCAACACATTTGGAAGGCTCGGGGACTCGAGCTTGATACAGGATCATCCAGCCGACACTCACGCCTGGAACGCGATCCTCAGCGCTCACTCCCAGCGCGGCGGCTTCCAAGAGGCGGTGGACGCATTCCTCGCTATGAATCTGGAAGGGATCGCTCCCGACTCGATCACTTTCATGACAACGCTCGCGCTGTGCGGCCACACGGGCGCCCCTGACGAAGGCTGGCGGGAGTTTGTGTCCATGGAGGTGGATCACGGCGTAAGGCCGGAAACCGGGCACTACGCTTGCATGGTGGACGTGCTAGCGCGGGCAGGGAGGCTGGCGGAGGCGGAGGAGCTCGTCATGAGCATGCCTTTCGAGCCGGACGAGCTTGCGCTGAGAGCTATTCTCGCGGCTTGCAAGCTTCATGTGGATTGCAAGCAAGGTGTGCGGGCAGTCGAGAAGATTGTGGAGCTCGACTCGGGTGATGGAATGCCATACATAATGCTGCTCTCAAGCTTGTGTCCTTCCACTGGCTGAAATAGAAATTTTTAAAACAGATTAATGATGTCTAAATGGGCATTTGGTCTAGTGGTATGATTCTCGCTTTGGGTGCGAGAGGCCGCGAGTTCGACTCTCGCAATGCCCCAGAAATTTACCCAGTAAAAAACAATTCACAATAAGAATGGTTATTTTCTCTTATAGCGATTATAACATTAAACGGTTGAGCTTAATGAATCTATAAATTCACAATCTATTAATTGAGTTCTCTTCAGAGCAATTTGTTTAACATAATCTTTTAATATGCTGTGTTAAACATAAGATTAGTAATAATATAATAAATCTAATTTGTTAATTTTCTTTTATGTTCAATATTAAGAATATAGAAAATCTTAATAAGTTTTATTTATTAAATGGTTCTGGTTCATGTGGTGCACAATAAAGCTCACCATTAATATTTACAATTCCACAATCTACTAATTGAGTTATCTCATTATTTCCAGCATCTACGCATAGAAATTGACCAATACCAAAAACAGAGCAACTTGTTACCTCTTTGACACAATCTTTTATTTGAATATGTGTTTGAACACTTATTAATGGATCATATGTTAAACATGAAGCTGTTAAATATCCATTAATACAAGTGGAAAGACTACAAGATTCAAGAAATTGCCCATTACATTCATCCCCAATAGCAAATATGTTGGTCCACTAAGGATATGATAGAAAAGTTGATTAGAGAACATACAAAATGGGTTAGAAAACAAAAGAAATTTATTTACTCACCAATAAAGAGTATATTATGAGGAAAAGAAAAATATTTAGTTTCTTGAACATTATTAGCAAAATTTGTTTATAGATAAATGATAAATAATCTAATTATTTATGAAAGTGTTTGTATGGAAGTGCTTTTCTAAAGTAGAGAGCATAGGATTTAGCTAATATAAGATATTAAAGTATTTAAAAAAAGATTTTTTATTTTTAATTTAAATTAAATTAGTTTTGTCTTATTTGATATAAATTAACTACACAATCCTTTATTGTTACTCAAGCTACTTACTCAAGCTAAAATCTTGTGAAATAACAAGTATCTCCTTTGTATACATGTTGAGAGAAAATCGATCTCAAAATAAAACCAAGCTGAAGTTAAGCCACGTGAAGAATGGTTCACCATCATTTTGAGCTCTTCCGCCAGCAAGCATCTTCAAATCATCTTTAATTGCTACATAAGCAGAGAATATCTATCTATCTATCTATATGCTGTTATGATAGTCTAGTGGTGCCCAACTGGAAGCATGGGTTGGATTGTCCTTTCTCAAGATATTTTTCCTTTCTCACCATCTCTTAGGATCTTACCAAGCTGTTTAAAACAGCACACACATGAGACAGAATCCTAGTGCAGCACTCCATCCTTTAATTGAGCATCATCAATCTAAACACCACGACGTCTCCCGTGGCTCTCAATGCAGAACTTCCACGAACGAGGCAGCCGCGCTTCCATCACGCCAAAGATGCTGAGAGCTCCGCTTGGAGAGCTGCACGTCAGATACGCAGCTCGCTTCCACTTCTTCGTCCCCAGTCACCCCGAAGCTCTCAGCACGGCCGCGAAGGAGATCCTATTTGGAGTCTCGACTCGCATTTGCCCGCGCCACCACCAAAAAGATTGACATAGAACGATTAACTATTGTGTAAATGGGCATTTGGTCTAGTGGTATGATTCTCGCTTTGGGTGCGAGAGGCCGCGAGTTCGATTCTCGCAATGCCCCACTTTTTGTAAGCTGGTTTTTGCAATGCCTGTACTGGCAGTGGCATTTGCTAATAACAAATAGCTGGGGCGATAACAAATGCTTGGCTTGAAGCAGAAGTGTGAGACCCGCCATGGAGGAGTTAATCATCTATCGTATTCCAAGTCAGTTAGTGCGTCTTTGAGTTTGAGAGATTCCCCGGTTCCTATTCTCTCTAGTGTGCACGAAACCAAAAGCCAGCCACTCAGGGTGACAGAATTGTATACTTTCTAGAAAAGAGCTTGTATAAGCCAACAACAACAAACAAAGAAATCTTTTAGATCAAGAAATTCCAAGAGCCATACATTTGCCAAAAGTTCCCGAGGAGAAATAGGAGAGAGAAAAGATGGCAGACATCTCATTCATTCATGAAAATATTGGTCCCGGAGGGCAACTTGGGTTGGTAATCGAGTACCACAGAACATTTCACATCAAAAACCTGGCAAGTTTTACCCAGCCAGTCGAGCCAGGGACAGGCATCGCAGCGCAGCGCAACAAGACGGACGTTGCAGTCAAACTTCCGTGCCACAATCCAGTGAGGTGACGGATAATACCAATAATATTGAATATTAACAATAATAAATAGCTTAAGATTGATAAAATATGGTTATCAATGTAATAATGAAATAATACAATTCGTTGAGACCCTTACAAACGTATGATATTGATTTCGATCGATCAAACGACGGTGGTGTGCTATGGCTTTCGAGGTTTGTGGATTTGCGATCCAGTAATGGTAATGATGTGGTATTGCGAGGCATTATTGCAGGATTATTCTCCATCGTACGTAACAGCAAAGCCAGTAAAGAAAGAATAAAATGGAAAAAGAGCGCTTTGTATGTATTGTACCTGTGTATGTCTCTCTCTGTGTTGTGTGTGTGTGTGTGTGTGTGCAAGGAAGGAAAAGAAAGAGAGAGCTTTTTGATCATCTCGTGTCTGGGAGTCTCTTTCCAGCATTGCGAGTGACAACGGTCGATTTTCCACGATCAAGGCGAACAAATTGGTGGTGAATCCATGGAGCAATCCAGCTATAATCCATTTCTCGCCATGAACTAAGAAGCCTAACAGATTCTTCTGCGCGAGCGAGCGAGGGAAGGAGAGAGAGAGTCTTGTGGAGTTATTGCCAGCGCCAGGACAGGCTTTGGGCTTTTGGTCTTTTCTCCAAAAGAGGGCATTCATCCATCCCTTCTCGCAATGGAGGCGCGCTCCGCCAAGAAGAAGAAGCTCCCGGCGATGGCGTCGATCGTCTTGGCTCTCACCCTCTTCCTCCACTCCGCCTCAGGTAAGCAACCCTTTACGATCACAGCGCGATTGATTCATATTCGTTTTCCTCGTCCTCGATCGATCGATCGATCCGTGGATGGATGGATGGATGGAGTTTAGGTGCGTTCGTGGGTGTGAGCTTCGGCACCGCGGTCTCCAATCTCCCCCGCCCGGAGCACGTCTGCGACCTCCTCACGAGCATGGGCGTGGATCACGTCCGCCTCTACGACGCCAGCTCCGACACTCTCGCCGCCTTCGCGGGCTCGGGCATCCGGGTCCTGGTGGCGCTGCCAAACAACGCCATCCACAGCGTCGCCGCCTCGCCCGCCGCCGCCGCCGCCTGGCTCAAGAACAACGTCCTCGCCTTCCTCCCCAACACCAACATCACCGGCATTGTCGTGGGCGACGCCGTGCTCACCGGCTACCCCATCGCCGCGCCGCTGCTCGTCCCCGCCATGCGCTCCCTCCACCGCGCGCTCGTCCACGCCGGCCGCCTGGATCGCTCCATCAAGATCACCAGCGCCCACTCGAGCACCATCCTCATGGGCGCCTTCCCGCCCTCGCGCGCCTTCTTCAACCTCTCCTTCGCGGACGCGGTGCTCGCGCCCATGCTCGACTTCCTCGCCGCCACCGACTCCTACTTCCTGCTCGACCTGGATCCCCTCGCCATCTACGAGCAGAGCGCCAGCATCACGCCGATCGAGTACGCGCTCTTCCAGCCCAACCGCGGCGCGATCGACGCCACCACGCAGCTCAACTACACCAATCTCTTCGACGCGATCGTGGACGCGGCCTTGAGCGCCATGGCGGCGATGAACCACACGGACGTGCCGCTGGTGATCGGCGCCGCGGGGTGGCCGTGGAAGGGCGAGTCGCCCGACGCCACGATCGAGAAGGCCGAGATCTTCAACACCAATCTGGTGGAGCACGTCCTCACCAACCGCGCGTCGCCGATGCGCCCCGGGTTGGAGGTGGACACGTACATCCACGAGCTCTACAGCGAGGATCGCAAGAGTGGTGGCGATGGCGGGCGATTGTGGGGGCTCTTCCACGCCAACCAGACGCCCGTCTACAAGCTCGACGTCTCGGGCGTGACCATGCTTCGCGATTCCTCCACTGGGAATGGATCGATCGCCAAGACGTGGTGCGTTGCCAGGAGTGGAGCCAGCGACGCGGATCTGGAGTCCGCGCTGAATTGGGCGTGTGGAATCGGCAATGCCGATTGCTCCGCGATCCAGCAGGGAGGGGCTTGCTACTCGCCCGACTCGGTGGCATCGCACGCTTCCTATGCGTTCAATAGCTACTTCCAGAGGAACGTCCAAGGGAATGGGACTTGCGATTTCAATGGCTGTGCCACGCTCACCAGCACCGATCCAAGTAAGTATGCTTTCTTTCGATCGACATCCATCGCTATAACTTGCGTGATCTTGCAGGCTATAATAGTTGCATTTACTCGTCTGGGAGGTGAGCTTTAATCTCATTCTTTGGTTGGAACTTGGATTGGATCATGGATATTTGTTCTTTTGGCAGCGTCAACTCGATCATACCGCAAAACTCCACCGCCACCCCGAGCAGCAGCAGCAGCAGCAGCTTGAACAGCTTCCCGGCGGGATTGGAGCGAGTGATCTTGCTAACAGCGTTTGCTCTAGTTGGATTCTAACAGGAAGAACGACCAAGAACTGTACATTTCAAACCCAGGAATTTTGGAAAAGGAAACTCTTTACCGGTGGAAAAAAGATAGAATTTAGAGTGTAGGATTATAGGAGTCAAACTGAAGTGATGCGTGTGTCCTTTCCAAAGACCCTGGAAAAGTTCTCACTCTCAGTAGTAGCAAACTATAGAATCAGTTACTGTTTCTCCCACCGTGATTGTGACGATGGAGCTGCGGTGAAGTATCTATGATCTTCGCTTAGCAGCTAGCTCCAATGATCTGGGAACTTCTCCTGGGCTTCTGGAGCTATTCCTCGTCGTCGTCGTCGTCCGAAGCATAGGCCCCAAGCGAGGAGAGCGCACCGTTAGCTTGAGGAGCAGCACTACTTACGTTGCTCTTCTCGACTGGTTTGATGCTTTTCTCGACTGGTTTGATGATGAACTTTGGGCCGCCACTTGCTTTCTTGGCAGCCGCTGGCAATGGCGGCTTAGGCACTGGATTCGTTTCCACGTTTTGCTTCTTCCTTGGCTCATCTTCGCCGTCGTCTTCGTCGTCCATGAGCCTTTTCACGTAGCCCTCCGAGTTCTAAAGAAACTCAAAGCTTAGAACCAAAAACGACAAGGAAGGAAGAACTTACTCTGAAAACCACGGTTCGTAGAATCTCCTCGTCCTCCTCATCGATCCTCTTCTGCATGTTTGCAGCGGCGGTGCGTTGCAGGACCTCGAGCATCGCGGCCGTGTCCACTTGAGCGTGCCTCGCTCGCATCGACTTCATCTCGTCCAGCGCCGCCATGATGTCCATCTCCTGCTTGGAATCCACGGTCTTGTTCTCCAGCGCCTTCATCGCATCGCCCATCTCATCGATCTCCCGCTGCTTCTTCGCGTTCTCCATCGCCTCGTCCTGCTCCCGCCACGGCTCAAAGTTCCGCTTCGCTCCAGACTCCATCACGTAGTCACTGTTTTGAGGATCCGTCACCATAGCCAGCTCCGCGGAGCACTTGGTACACTTGAAGTAGAAGCGGAAGATTTGTATGCCCAGGTAAGTCTGCACAGTACACCCAAGATACTAAGTAGAGTGTCCGATCGAGCTAGGAAAGAAAGAAAATACAAAGAGAGTAACCCCAAGAACTCTACATACCTTTCCCACAACGTCTTCCTTGCGAGAGTTGAATTTGGTGCCCTTGTAGATGTAATTCCCGCAGGTGTTGCACCGGATGCTCATGGGAAGCATCATACGCACCTTGATCTGCTTCTTCTCGGTCTTGGGCAGCCGCCGAAGAATCGCCGGATCAAAATCCGGCGGGTAGTACTTGTTCAAGACCTTGCGCTCTCCCATCGCTCCTCAAGAACCCTAAAATTCCCAAAAGAAAACGAAAATGGAAAACCCCAGATATATAGATAAGCAAGAAAAGGATATTTCGACAAGCGCTACGGATATTCTGTTATGTTCTACTAAGCCGTCAGTCATCGTCCGAGTTGGAGTCGCTATCGCGGCTGCTTTGACGAACATTTCGCCGGACTGTCTCTCTGGATCTGTCCAGCGAGCTCTGCCCGTCCGCCATGACGATGCTCGATCTCGCGAGCCTCTCCTCCAGCTCTTCCGTGCTGAATTCATCGGTGGCACCGAGCTCATCGAATCCAACCTGTTGATCGATCGAGGCAAAAGTTTTTGGAGCTCTCGCATGGAATGGAGGCAAAGCTGATTTATACTCACCACGTAATCGTCGACCTTGCCTTTCTTGATGAGAGCCAGCGTGGGCAGCATGACGATCTTGAGCCTCTCCGTGAGGAAGGGGCTCTTCTCGGCATGGATCTTCACGAATCTCGTCTCGAGGTGTTGCTTTGCGAGGATGTTGAGATGCTTGTCCATCACCTGAGAAGGAAGAAATGCTGCGTAACAGAAGAGAGAAAGAGAGAAAGGGAAGAAGAGGAGAATGTACCTTGCAGGGCCAGTTTTCCCTGTAAAAGTGACACACGACGCGCTCGCTGGCCTTGGCCACCGCGAAGAAATCCTTCTCCGAGTGGATCTCCTGGTAGTCGCCATGGCCGAGGGCGAGCCACTGCTGCCTCTTGGCGGCCATTAGCTTCATCTGCGCCAGGCGCTGCTCGCGCAGCCTCTCCAGATCGTCGTCGTCGAGCCTGTCGAGCTTGGAGATCTCATCGTCGAGCTGCTCCTCGATCACCTTGGCAACTGTCAGCACCTGTTGCTCCACAGCCTGCGAGGCACAAAGCGTCCAAGGGGGAGTGCTGCATTCTCTCCATCCAGACTTACTCACCTGTTGGATCACGGAGGGATCCGCCATGACCTAGCGCGGAGATTTTAGGGCAAAACTATTTGTTAAGAAAATGCTTGGTTAAGTTAATCTAAAAACGTAAAGTTTTAAGCCAATATCAGCCCCAACTATGCTTGCCAACTGTGGAAACTCCAACTCTGGTTCCAGCGTATACGATCCCTGAGGAGGATCACAGTCAAGAGTATGGTGTTTTGAAGAAAAATCTGGATGGTTTGCCGATGAAGGCTGAGGATGTCAAGTAATAGGACATGTCTGAGGGTGAGACATGATCGAGAGGCAGATCATGAAGCTACTACTCAAGGTGAAGAATGGCAAGAGAGGGAGCTGGCTATGACAAAGCTCGAGAGTTTGGCCAGCTTTTCAACCAGATACTCCCGCTAGCGCTCGAAGATCAAGAATGCCACCTTCTAGTCAAAGATTTTGTAAAAACTGGACGAGCTTGTGAGGCCGTACGGTCACAAGCTCCTGGTCGTGATCGTCGAGCTTGGGGTGAGGGACAAGAGATCATCTCGAACTTGGGGCTTGTGAGCATGATCTCGGTGTTGAGGCCTGATCTTGACAACATTTGCAAGTACATGAGAAAAACAACAGAGCCCTACATTACGCGTGACCCTGACGCAGTGGATTTACCAAGCCAGCATTGCCTATGCAGTGATGCTCCGGAAGTGCTTCGTGGTGAAGTGGGATTAGCCACTACCATGTGAGGTAAAGACCAAGCCAAGAAACCCTTGCTTGAAATGCTTCTTAAACACCTCCGCCTGGAAAGTGGCATAATCCTAGGCCAAATTGGCCCTCCAGCTATGAGTAGAAGTTGGTACGAAGGTGGTATACAAGCCCAAGGTGATCTGTTTCTTCTATGATAAAAGAATATTGATATCCAGGAATATGCCTGGATATTCTCCAAGTTTTATCTCTTCTGCCTGTGCATGTTAAGGAATCAAGAAAGAAGTCACTATTATTCCAAACACTAGAGCTGGGCTTAGAGCCATATTAAGTCCAGAGCATGAAGAAACATTGGCAAAAGTTCTATATCTTTCATTCTTCTGAGTAACATATGGTTTAGCATGTGGTACCTTAACCGTATTCTCTTTATATTTTTGCATTTAATCAAATATTATATGAATTTAACTAGAACTCAATTTAGAGCATAATATAATTTCAAATCTCGGTAACGAATGCTTCCAACACTTACAATGGCTCTTTGAATCTGATTGAGAAGAAACTGTTGCTCAATCCCACCAGCTCAATTGATTTATCCTAGATCTAATTAGATCAAAGAGATCTTTGTCAAACAGTGAAGAACACTCACTAGGGAGATGTTGAGTGGTTAATAATAACATTATCAGTAGTTTAATATTAGTAATAAGCTAATCAGTTTAACTTTAATATCATTTTAATGAAATAATTATTTTGATTAAATTAAAACCTTGATGAAATTTAAAAATATACTACAATAAAAACTATTATATCTACTACCATACATAATAAATTTAGAATAATTTAATACTTTATTTATTATTCAAGTAAATGGCTCCTCTGGATCATGTGGTACACAAGAGAGTTGACCATTAGTATTTACAATTTCACAAAATACTTCTTGAGTTATCTCATTACCTCCGGCATCCACACATGTAAACTCACCAGCATTACCCACACTACAATTTGTTACCTCTGGAACACAATTTTCTATTTGGATATGTGTTTGAACACTAATGGTGATATCAGTTGTTAAACATGAAGCTGTTAAATTCCTGTTAATACATGTCAAAAGACTACAAGATAGATTAAATTGCCCATTACATTCATCCCCATAACCAAAAATATTAATCCACTACAAAGAAGAAATGGGTTAAAAAACATAATAAAAATTATTCGCTCACCAATATAAAAGAAACTATGATGAAAATAGAAAATTTTAATTGGGTAGACATGACTTAGCTATAGATGCAATTTCATCTAACCCATCTTTTATTTACCCCAGCATTGTTTGTTGTGAAAGTGTTTTTTAAGAGCACAGAATAAAGCAAGTATAAAAATATTTTAAAATAAATATTCTTCCTTAAAGAAAAGAATTTCGTTAATTGACAACCATTTTGTCTTGCTAGCTCACTGGCATTTGGACATTGACGACAAAGATAAAGAAAGGTTTACTAAAGAGAGCTTTTTTAAATTCTGTCTTTTCATGCAAACGTTTCAGGATCTTGCCAAGCCAGTTCCTCTGCCAATTCCAGCCCGGCTTCTTTAGCACACGCACGGACGAGCTCTACATCAGCCCGTGTTTCACAGAATCCAAGCGCAGCACCCAGCGTAACTCCATCCACTGCTGCTGCCCCTTGATCCAGCATCATCAATCTAAACACCACCACGTCTCCCGCGGCTCGCAAGGCAGAGCTCCACGAACGAGGAGGCCGCGATACCATCGAGCCAAAGATCCCGAGAGCTCCGCTTGGAGAGCCGCACGCCAGATACGCATCCAGGAGGCTCGCTTGCACCTCTTCGTCCCCAGCCACCCCCAACTCCATCGCAAGACCATGAACTCTCTCGGTCTGCCTCGAGTCCTGGAGACCGGCACAAGCTCTCAGCACGGCCGCGAAGGAGATCCTGTTTGGAGTTACTCGGTTCTCGGCTCGCATTTGCCAGAAGGTGTGCACGGCCTCGCGGAAGTGACCCGCGGCTTCATAAGCCGCCACCATAGTGTTCCAGGCAACGATGTCCCGCTCCACTATCCCCTCGAAGATCCTCGTAGCAATCCCCGCGAGCTTTGCTCTCCCATAAGCCTTGATCAACGCGGTCTGGACGAGAAGCTCGCCTTGAAAACCACTCTCGGTCACCAGCCCATGTATCCATTCTACTTCCTCCGCCATGGACGGGCCAACGCAGGCGTTTAGCACGGCGACGAACGTCACCTGGTTCCCTCTGATCCCTTGCAAGCACATCCGCTGAAACAAGCTGACAACCTCGCCGCAGTAGAGCTCCACATACCCGCTCTGGGTATACGCAGTGATCATCGCGTTCCACAGCACTGGCGAGCTCGAAGTGATCCTGCCGAACATGAGCCGAGCGTTCCGGATGCTACCGCACTTGGCATACAAGTTGACGAGAGCAGTCCCGACTATGATATCAGCCTCGTAGCCAGACCTGTAGAGGTAGCCATGGATAAACTTTGCCTTGTCCAAGTTCCCAATCCCACCGTAAGCACCCACGACTGCTACGAAGCAAACTCGATCTGGCTTTCTCCCTTCTAGCAGCATTCTCTGGAACCAGCCGACTGCGTCGTGAAATCTTCCTTCCCTGACCAGAGCCGAGATGAGCAGGGTGTACTGCATAACATCCTGCGTGTGGAGCTTGCTGAAGAGTTTCTCGGCCTGGTCAATGCCCCCACACCGGAGATGCATTCTGAAAGCCTCCTGCTTCCACGCTGCTGAAAAGTCGAGGGGCTCGTCCCTAGTAACTTCTACTTTCTTATCAAACAGCACGCTTTTCCCCCGCCATGCAGGCGAGTGGGGAAGAACCTTGTTGATAGAAAAATCCATATCTTAGCTTCAAACCTGCGGAGAAAACTCTTTTAAAGCTCAACAAAGTGGACAATCCATACCTCGAGGAAGAAAATGTGTCTGCAAAGTGTTTCCTCGTCAATATACATGCAAAAAACTAGCTCAATGTCCTCTAACTGACTACAAAGTGTGCTTGCTATGGTACACTGCTCACGCGTCACGGGTTACAAGTTATTGACACTTTCTCCGGTACAGCAAGGACTGCGGGCAACAGAAATAGGTTACTACACAAAGAAGAATGACGCTAATGACTTACCAAGTTGTTGTATCTATTCCAGTAAGCAGTATAAACGTCGCCTAGAGTAGCATTCATGTCGAGAATCTCCACAAATTTCCCGCTATTGGCACTGGGCTCCTTGTTTTGCAGTTTTTCACGGACGAGGGGATCTCTGCAATCACATTCCGCAACAATTTCGAGTTCCGTATCCATTGGGAACAAGTCGTGACTCATAAGAAACTGCAAGTGATAGCAGTCAGTAACTGATTCCCTAAAACAAGGAAACTTGTAACAGCATACCGAACAAACTTGTTGGATAGACAGTTTTGGTGAGCAGCACAAGTGAGGCCTCTCGAGACTTGGAAGATTGTTTGCGGCATTCGAGTCATCCATCATCGGCATTAAACTGAACTGGACATCGAGCTGCAAAATAAAAATTCGTTATAAGTTTTGCTAAGAAAACAAAACGAGAAAACAAGGTCAATCTACAAACCTCATTGATATCTTTGTACGTAGCAGCGGCCAGAGACTCAAGTAGAACTGTAGCACGCATACACCGCAGGTGCCTGGCACTGTTTCCAGCGCCAGTACTAACGCTTCCATACCGTGTGTGACTGCGAGTGCCAGCTCTTGCCCAGGTTACCATAGCGTCTCCATTTCCTGTCGCTGGAGATGCATGCCTTCTGCGAGCTACGACATCGTCCACTTCGTCGTCACTGTCGTTACTTTCTTCCTCAATGCTGACACTTAGCGACGAGTCAAACGTAACAGGTCTCTGTCTCTTGCGAGTAGACGTTCTCCTTGGCTCCACAGGAACGTCTTTCTCCATATAATAGTCACTTTCGTCTTCCAAAGGCGAAAGTTCTCTTCTCGAACTTCTCCGCCTGGAGCCGCCTCGCCCCCTTCGACCTGAAACAGGCCTGAACTTACCGTGGGCCTTTCTGACAATCGCAGCAGCAGTGGCTTTAGCTGTTCTGCGTTTGGCGAGTGCTTCGGACTGTCGTTTGGCGGTTTCCGCGATGTCAGCCTGGATCTGGAAGCCGTTCGACGTTAACAACCAGCGAGCGATGCAGGGTCAACCGAGATGGTTACCTGCTTATTCTTCCACGTCTCTTCTTCGAGCAAAGACATTTCCTAGATGAAAAGTTGATACTGTTAAAACATACAGCTTAGCACATAAACATAAAAGTTGGGCTTCGTACCTCTTCTTCATACTTGTCGATATCCTGGTACAACGCCGCAATTAATGAATCAAAATTCGGATCATCCCGTAAAGACCTCCTACTGGCGCAATGGGTACGACATGCAGGGCACTCATTGTTCCTGTAGATCACCCAAGTTATTAGACACGAACATGAAAGAAAAAGAAAAACGCTCATCGTACCCCAAACGCATCGACTTGTCTATACACTCTCTACAAAATCTGTGCAAGCACTCCATAACCGTCCTTGTCTTCCGGATGATACCTGCAACAAAAATCCACAAGTTACTGTAGCCAAACTGCGGGTAGCCGTGTGAAATACCCAAACAAATGGGACACTGCATCTCCTTTCGAATCTCGCTTAAGTACACTGTGATGTACCTGGAACATTTAAGAAAAAGAGGGAAAAAAAAATTCCATATATGCCACTCAAGGCGACTAAATATCAAGAGCACCAAACAGCTTACTCATTGGAGCCATCGACAGGAGGAGATTGAGCCGGAGTAGCGTCGGCAGCCACTGCAAAAGAATCCAAACTAAGCACCAAAGTCCTCAAGCAAAAGTTTTTACCTGGACCATCACCAGCAGTAGCAGCAGTAGCAGCAGCAGTAGCAGCATCAGCCGGAGTAGTAGCATCCACGGCAGGAGCAGCAGCAGCATCGTTACTACATTCCGGTGATGGGTCTTCGTTGGGGGCCTCTCCCCCGTTTCCACGCTCCTCAGACGGCATCTTTCTACCTGCGAACATCACACCGGATCCCGAAATTTCACGCTCTCTTTCACAAATCTAGAGTCGGCGCAGGCAAAGATACTCGAGAGACAGAGAAAGCGGCATTCTTACCTCACCGGAGCTTCTTCTTCTTCCCGTCGCCTTGGCGCTTCTGACGTAGTACGAGAAACACAGAATGAGCACCAAAGATCGACATGCGCCGCGCATCGCTCACCTTAGACGGCACGCAGCAGCTGAAATCTCGTGAGAATGGGCCAACTTTGAGTGACCTAGCAGCAGCATCGATCAGCGGCAGCACGGCGCCATGGCCAGCGCCAGCGCCATCCACGAACCCGATGCCCTAAAATAAATCCCTAAAGCCACCAGCACTGCAATGCATGGGCACAGCTTCTATATAGCCTCCATTCCACGAGCCCGGCGTTAGCATTACCAACCCCTCGCAGCCCTTGGATCAAGCCCATGGATCGACGGCAGCCAATGCGTGTGGATGAAACAAAGAAGTTGACTTACAGGAACAAGAGAAAAATAAACACGACGGACATAAGCTTCAAAAAAAGGTAGAACAAAACTAGTTAGAGTTTCCTGTGAGTTTTCTATCCAATCTTACGTCTCCTGTACACGAGCTTGTTGATAGTGCAAATGGTTTGGAGTAAAATCGGCTTGTTGGTGCTGAGTGAAATCGATCGGATGCTCCAAATAGTTTGGAGCAAAGTTCTCGATTTGCTGCTCGTTCGTGTTGAGCTGAACGTTGTATCTTTCGACCGTATTTTCGCTCCTAGCTTGCTTTTCGTCATCGTCTTCGTCGTCGTCGTCGCCACCGTCGTCTTCCAGACCCGAATCCAAATGACCCTCTGAAGCGCGAAGTTCTCGCTGCTTCTTTTCTTCCACTTCTCGGCTGAATCGTTCTTTGTCCCTCTTGCTCATCTCCCTGTAAGGCTGAAAAACGAAGAACAACCTATCTTAGATCGAAAGAACACCGTAAAAGAGTGGAAGACGAACCTCTTTCTCTTCCTCCGAGAGTTTGGACCAGAGATCCCCGATGATCTTACTCATTTCATCTCGTCCTCCTCCGCCTTTGAGTTTCTGTCTTTGCTCCCCGACGAAGAAGTTGTATCCATTCCTCACCGATTTGATTCCCTCCACCCTTCGCTTTCGTTTCTCCTTCTTCGGAGGACGAGCTTTTATGTTACCAGCTTTTTTGTCGGGCGGATCCAGCAACTGCGGATTCTCGGCAGTGTTGCTCTCTACATCTGCGAATTGCTCCTGTGCTTCGGCCAGACTTTGAGGAACACTGTAGATCACACCTCGTAGTTTCTCTGATCCAACCACGACTGTGACGAAGTATCCATGCTCGAACTTTCCTTCGATGGCTCCGGTTACAGTATGGCCGAGTGAAGATGCTGGATTTGCTACAAGAAAAAAAAAACATAGATACCAGATTGTCACAGTTATTTATTTATTTTATTTCGTGAAAATAACTCACCTGGAGTTTGATTCAATTTGCTACTATCGTTATTCGAGTCATGGTCTTTGATGTTTTCTGAAACTGGAGCTGGCATTGGCAAAGGTCCTGTTTGAGAATTATCAGATCAGCTTTGCGACAAAAACAAAGAATTTTGTTTACCGGGTGGTGGAATGTGTGCTCCAGTTTTTCTGTGAAAATACACTTGCTCGTAGTGATGAAGAAACGTCTCGTAGTTTTTACGCAGGAAAAACACGGGGTTCGTCACGTTTCGAGGAAGATCAAATGCTGTGGCGATATCTTTCCATTTCTTCTCCCTGATAACCTGCAAGACACGAAGCTAGTTTCGGGATTGTTCTCTTTCTCGCGAGAAGAAAACCTTAAGCATGCCTCCTTGCTCCGAGACCTCGCAATACAGCCGATGGATCTCAAAGTCTTTGCCATGGAAGCGAGGAAGCCTGCCAGGAAAACCAAGTAATAAAGTCTCGAGAGCAATAGAAAAAAGAATGTTTTTTTTATGATCGCAAGCTCTTACCGGAGTGGAGTTCCACCCATGGCTTCGTAAAACTTCGAGAGCGTGCTGAGAAAGAGCTTCTCGTCCGCGACAACTTCTCGATGATCCGCGAGTGGAGCCGGATAAACTCTCGATTCCGGCTGCTCCAGGTCCTCTCTACCGAAGGGGCTCGATCTTTGCGGCGGCGGCGGAGTTTGCACAGCCGGCATTTCCATTCTCTTTGATTTCTTTGCCTGTCTCGCCTCGTTCTTGGAGGAGAAATGGCGCTTGGAAAGATCGAGCGGCTGCTGGAGCTGCTGGCACTGAGCTCGAGGAGGAGGAGGCGGAGGAGGCGGAAGAACAGGCGCCAAAGGCGATGTTTCTTTCAAGAACGTCGTTTGATCCACGAGAGCTCCGGCGCGCTCGAGGAAGACCATGTGCTGCGATTTTTGGTGGTGTCGGGCATAGAATCCGAGCTGGGCCGGCGAGGCCGGGCTGTTCAAGTCGGGGGCTGGAGATGGTCTCTGAAAATTTAGGTTTCCACGAAACCCACCTTGCTGCTGCTGCTGCTGGAGATGATACCGCTGCTGCTGCTGCTGCTGCGGTGGGATCGCGATGAAGCGCTGCTGCGGCATTTGCTGGAACTCCAGCGATTGTGGATGCGGCAGCATCATCGGTGGAGCGGCCATTTGCTGCCGCTGCTGCTGTTGCCCCTGGGCGTGAATCGACCAGATGGGCTGCGGGCTGAGCGTCGGGAATTGGAAGAGCAACGGGGGCGCTGGCGGCCTCGCCGGTGGCCTTGGATTCGACTCCCCCGCCATAGCTTTGGATTACGAACAAGCGCTCTTTTCTGTCTTTGCCCACATCCAACGGCCTCGGTTGGGTCCCGCGCGGCCGTTGGATCCCGCCCATCCAACGGCCCAGGAAAATCTAAGGTGTCTGAATCGTTCGCAGTAAAATTCATTACACAGTCGGACGGTGGTCGAAAGAAAATGATTTGGAGAACAAAGTATGGGAAGAATAACGAGAACTTGGAAAAACGTTCTACGGATCTCTGGAGAAACTCGAGCTTCTCTCGCGATTCATCGCTGGATCAATTCTCTCGCGAGTTACGCTGGAGCAATTCCTGGAAGCGATGATCACTTCGATTTTGGCTGGATAAATTCAAAGAGGAGCAAGCCTCCTCTAGAAGTGATGATCACTGCGATCTTCTATCAAATAGATTCCTGGGAGACAAGCTACTTCAAGTTAAAAGAGGGCTCTTGAAATTTTTCCTTCCGGATTGAAACAAAACACAGCGAGAGAGATTTCTACTTAGCTCTCGGTCTGCTCCCTCAAACGCCTGATCGTGCTCCTCACTGTGACGGCACTGGCAGTACTGCAGCGAGAAATAGATCTCGATCAAAACAGGCAACAAAAGCAAAGCGAAAGAGGCTCTCACTTGAGCGTGTAAGCGCCGCCAGCCTTGATCTTGCCGCAATCCTTGCAGTTCCAGATTCCCACGGCCTTCCTCTTCACTGCGAACTACACAAGACCAAGGAATAGATCAAAACCTCGTCGAAATCTCTCTCTTTCTCTCACCTTGCCACAGAATTCGCAGAAGTACTTGGAGTGCTGGCTGACCTCCATCTTCTTGATCTGCTTACGCAGACTGGCGCCATAGCGAGTTCCTGGCGCGCACGAGAAATCAGCACACGAAAATGCAAGAGCGGTACATACCGTATTTGCCGACAATTCCAGCCTTCTTCGTGCGCTTCGCCTGCACAGACACAATCCGGCTAAGAACGAGCAAAGAGAAGAATGGCGCTCACCATAGCCGCCTGCGCTGGAGAGAACTAGAACCCTAAGTCCAGAACCCTAGCAAATGAACGATTGGGATGGTGTTTTATCTCAACGGACAGGATTTCACACCAAATTATCCAACGGTGGAGACTACGAGAACTTAGAAAAAAACTTGTATTTGCTTATAAGTAGGCGGATTTTCGGAGAACGTAGGACAGGAATTTAATCCCGAGTCGCCCTTCTTCTCTCAAAGGAGCCCGAGAGACGATTGGAGTCAACGCACTTAACCTGTTGCTACTACAGCTAGAAATCCCGATCGTAAAGCACTGGTGCTGCTGCTGCTGACTATAAGGATACGAATTCAAAGAGGGGCAAGCCTCTCTGAATCTCGGAAACTTACCGAGAAACGATGACCACTGCGATCTTACTGCTGCTGCCACTGTGCTCGGATTTAATCCACTTCCACCACCAACGCATTTTGCTCCGAGGCCATAACTTAAGTCCTCGTCGTCCAGCTTAGCCTCATCCTGCACAAAGACGAACAGTAAGAACGTCGAAAAAACCGAGAGAGAACTTCACAGCTCTAGTAGACTATTACTCTCGAACCACAGCTAGAAAAGAAAGACCGAAGAAATCAAACCTCACCACCTTTGGAAAGCCCATCAACGCGCTTTCACGATGACTGCTTAGAGGAGCTCACTTTCGCTTTTTTCTTCCCACTTTGCGACTTGGAGCCCCCCCGGCCTCTTTTAACTCTTCCCGAACTGACTTTCTCATCCTGCTCCTCATCGCTACCCGGAAGAACAGTGCCTACCTTTGCTTGATTCCTTGCAGGCCTTCCCCTTTTCTTTGGTGCTTCTTGCTCAACGTCATCGCTTTTTGCCTTCACTGCACCCCCTTTCCTCTTTGGTTTGTCATCACCATCAGATTCCCCGTCGTCGTCCACGGGTTTTTTCTTCCGGGAGACAGCCTTCTTCTTTGGCGCGGCTTCCTCCTCTTCTTCCACTTCATTCTCGTCGTCCACTTTCCCCTTGATAGATTTCTTCCTCGATGGCGTCTTCTTCTTTGGAACCCCATCGTACTTCTGCAGCTCCGGCACATAAGCAGACGTCTGACAGCCAAAAACACACTGTGACCAAGAGCCTCACGACATAAAGTTCACATACCCTTCCGCCAACAGTGATGAACTCGATCTTTTTCCCTGGAAAAGTGCCAACCGAGATTAAAAACAAAGTGGATAAACGAAAAAGTAAAAAGAAAAGAAAAAACACCAACGATATGCACGCATGAGAATGCAGACCATTCACAGTAGCACCAGATTTCTTCTCGCGGTGTTGATAAATCCAGTCGTCTGGATAATGGGACGAATCGCCTTCCACAGAGATGGCCGTTTCAAGAACCTGCCATATGCGCAATATTAAAACTCTTAGGAAACTCACCATTTACACTGCCAGGCTTTTTACCCCAGCGGTGATGAAAAAGCCAATCTCTAGGAAAGCGTTCAAGATCAGCATCAACGTCAACCGCAGTCATCACAACCTACATGTATATGCACTTGAATTCTAAGTTTTCTAAGTCTTTGGAATTAAAGACCAGTAAGCAAAAACAAAGATTAAAAAACTGGGATTGTGGTCTAACCTCTTTGATAGCCCCACGAAGTCGCTCGCAATCTATAGCTGTTAAGGTGGACGCTGGTTGCTCAGGATGTATTCTAGACTGCCATAACAACTGTAAGACCAGAAACGGCACACAAAGTTTTTGCCTACCTGATAGAGTACTTCATCAGCAATCCAGTTGCCAATCCCCGCGATAAAGCTCTGCTTGGAGCAAAGATAACAGTCAGACAAAACAAAACGAGGAAATCGCCACACCTGGTCAAGTAGAACAGCCTTGATAGCCGTCTTCTTTTTCGCAACAGAGTCGGCGAAAGTAGTTTCATCCGGAAGCTCTGTGTAAGCATCCGGTCCCAGCTCAGATATTGGCGGAGACAAGCGTGGCTTCAAGGCGGAAAAAGCCATCAGAGAAACCACCAAAATAAAATTAAAAAAACGAGCTACGTACATCTTGTATAAGTCGGACCCGAGCAAACCTGCGCTTGTCCGTGAACGACATCTCCACACCAGTGTCCAGCTGATGAAACAAAGATAAGTTGCGCACATTGCACATTCATCTAGCTAAACGCACCACGAGATGAACTTTGGAGTATTTGGAGGGCCACTCATCTTCATCCTTCACAGCAGACCTACAAGCACCAAAACAAAAAATGTAAGCGCTGCAAGCAAAAGAGAAAAAGCAACTCGAACACCACTCACCTCACATACTTCGTGCTCTTAACTCCTTTCACATACACAGCTCCGGCCATGCCTGCACAGAGCAAACACTAGAACAAAAACTTTCACAAGAAAAAAATGCTATCACAAAAAAAGAGGAAGGAAGCAAAGAACAATCCAATGTAGCCTAGGAAATTCACAAAGAACACATAACAAAAAAGAGGAAGGAAAATGTAGCCCAGGAAATCGACATACCAAACTGGAAGCAAATGCTTGGGGGCTCGTCCAGCTCCAGCCACAGCTGCTTGCCTTTGCGATGCGCCGCGACGATCCTCTTGGCCACAAGGCGGCGCTGCATATCAAACGGCGCCATGCCTTCGATCACGGTCGTGTCGTCGGCGACGCTGGCGCGGCAAATGAGGCCCTTGCAGTGGAGCTCCACCGCCCGCCGCGCGGCCTCTACCTCGGGAAGCTCCGGCATAGCTATCTATTCGAAAACACAATTAAAACCCTAGGGTTTTATAAGAAGAAATCCATTAAGGTTTTTTAGTCTTCCATTCATCGTCCATTTTCATCGTTGTAACCGCTAAGAAATCATAATGTACAGATTTTTTACAAGCTTTTTAGCTTCGATTCGATTGATTTGCGAATTTTGTTCCTCGCCTTTTAGCGGAGAAGTCTGAGGAGAAGAGTCACTGTTGTTCGAATTGCCATGAAAGCTGCTCGAACAAGGACCGGGTTTCTGTATAGCCTGTAGCAAGGAAAGTTTTAGCTTCAGTCCAGGAAGAAGTAGCAAAAAAAAATTAAAATCATGGCTTACCCCACGCCAGTGGCGGTCCAAGACGCGATCGTGTACATTACTTTGCCCGCTCCCCAAAGCCTCCGAAAGAATCCCGGCTTGTCCTTGGCGGAAAACGCTTTGCTAAGAGCTGAGACACACGGCAAAGGAGAATTATAGAAGACACAGAAACGAGAGATTTCGATCGAGCTTTACCATTTTGCAGTTCATCCGGAGACATGTTCTAGCAAAACCTCCAGAAGTTAGAAGCCATCGCGAGAAACAAACTTGCAAGAGCGTTACCTGAGCTTTGGGTTGAGTTGCGAGGTACTTTGCCATGTACGAGGCAATGCTATCGACAATATCCTCTTGAGTGATCACAACGTAATCCTCGGCCCCCTCCATCCCATCCAAGACAACCCAAGTGTTCTCCTTCTCGCCATCCTCCTTGTCTTTGGACGTGACAATCGTTCCCAGTTTCTCCAAAAACTCGGGAGAATCGACTCGCTCTTTGAGTTTATCACACAGCTGACAACCACAATGACCCAATTCGTCTCAATTCTCCAAAAGGGAACAGGAGAGATCGACTAACCTGATCCGGATCCATCCCATTCAACTGATGCATATGCTCCAGCAATCCCCTGGACGAGAATTCCTGGATCACATCCCTGTACATGTCGAGCGCCGAGCGAAGCTTGTCATTCTCGGCCCTTTCCTTCACCAGCGCTTCCTCGGCATCCCGCTGCACCGCCACGGCGTGGTGCTTGCGACGCTCGTATGCTCCCATGGCGGCATCGGCGAGCTCGGCCACAGCTGCCGCGACCTCCAAACCCTCCACGGCAGCGTGCGCCATAGCCCAAGAGCCCTAAATCCCCCTCTGACTTAGAAGGGCAAAATTTAGGGCTAACCCTAAAAGGATGCTTGCTCCCCAATGATCACGATGCAGCGCCTCTCGTGGCATTCGCTGATACGCTGGGAGCGAAGAGTGATGCTTTGGGGCCATTCCTTGTGAGATTTTTCCTGTCTAAACGCCATAGAATCATCTCACAGAGTGTCCTCGACAGTGAGTGTTTGATTCTCTCTCGCAGAGAGCGAAGAAATCTTTTCCTCCGACTAAAAGGAGCTCTTCCATTTTGTATAGAAGTAGCTAGAAGAGGTGCTTTCTTTCTCTTCCTGGAATGCTATTCAAGCTAAGCGATCAAGGAGAGAAGCAAGAGAAAGTTTCCATATACCCAAGTTATAGATCTAAACAGAAAAACGCTGGGTTCTTCCAGATCTAGAACCCAGCAGCATTGTCTTGGGTATTCTCTAAAATGTTAGCCATCAAGTCATGAGCCGCTGTGTGCCTGGAATCCAATCTCAGTAGCGACTCAAAAGCAATTCTTCCCACCTCTACGTTCTTCCACTTCCGGCAGGCGGTCAGTACAATCGTCCATGTAACCACGTTGGCTTTGTGAGGCATCGACTTCACCATCGCCACTGCCTCCTCGAGCTGGTTGGCTCTTCCCAGCATATCTATCACACAGTGGTAATGCTCAAGCTCTGGAGCTAGCCCATACTTGGAGCCCATGGAAAAGAAAAACTCCTTACCTCTGTCAACCAGGCCGGCATGACTGCACGCGCTTAAGACTGCCAGGAGCGTCACTTTGTTTGGATCCAAGCCATCGTCTCTCATGTCGCGGAGCAGGCAGAAAACTCTGTCGATCTCGCCTCTTTGACTGTATCCTGCAATCAGCGAAGTCCAAGATATCACATCTCTGGAAGAAATCGAGTTGAATACCTCCTGAGCTTCCACCATGCTGCCACACTTGCCGTAGAAGTCCAACAGGCAGTTCGCCACCATTGTGTCGTCCATCAGGCCAGAAATCCGAAGTTCCCTGTGTAGACTTCGTCCCACTTCCAGTGCTCCGGTGCTCGAGCAGGCCTTCAGAGCCACACTGAATGCCCCGCTGTCCGGCACGAAGCCTTCCAAGTTCATGCACGCGAACAAGTGTAGTGCCGTCTCTGCTTCTCCGTTGTGGACGCAAGCCTGTAGCATTGCCTTCCAAGTTACCGAGTTGTGTTTCTCCATCCGGTTGAAGACACGGCTAGCATCCTCCAGGCTTCCACACATTGCGTAAAAGTCGACTAGTGTGCTCGCCACAAAGATGTCCGGCTCGTAGCCTCTTCGAGCGGCCTCGGAGTGGACGGCCATTCCTCTCTCGAGTTTAAGCAGCTTCCCGTCAGCGTCCTCCAGCCCTTCCAGCGGACTCGTGCATGCCTTCAGAGCTGCAACGAAGCTCTGAGAGTTTACCAAGTTCTTGTCAAGAGCTATTTGAAAGAGAAGTAACGCATGCTCACCTTCTCCGTTCTGAGCGTACCCGAGGATCAACGTTGTCCAAGAAACAACGTCATGAAACTTCATCAGGTCAAACACCTCCTGAGCACGCAAGATACTTCCACACTTCGCGTACATGTTGATCAAGCTGCTGCCCAAGAAAACATCAGAACTAAAACCCGCTTGAACAGCTTGAAAATGAATGCTCGTACCTTTTCTCAGCAGCAATGACTTCGAGCTCTTCTTCGTCTTGCCTTCGTCCTCATCTTCCATAGCTGCCAAGCTCGCGCAGGCCTGCAAGGCAACAACGAAGGTCTTAGCATCCGGAGAGCAACCTTCCTGCTGCATCAACGCAAAAAGTTCCAAAGCTACCATTGGTCTCCCGACCTGGACGTATCCTAGGATGAGCGTCGTCCAAGACACCACATTCTTACGTGGAATCCCGTCAAAGACTCGACGAGCATCCACCACACTCCCGCACTTGAGATACATCTCCACCAGGCTACTCGTAACGAATTGGTCGCATCCGCAGTTGGCTGCCTGAGAGTGGATCACTCTTCCTTTCTCCAACGATTTTTCCTTCACGACCACCTTGCAACCATATCTCTTTCGGCCTTCTTCTTTCGCTGCCAAGCCACTGCACGCCTTGATCGCAGCGACAAAAGTTTGATCTCCCGGATCACAGCCTTCCAGCTGCATCCGAGCAAAGAGCGCCAATCCAGTCGCGAACTCCCCGTTTTGCACGTAGCCGAAAACCATGGCAGTCCACGAGACCACATTGTTGCGTGGAATCCCGCGGAAAACCCGAAGAGCATCCACCAAGCTCCCACACTTGACGTACATATCCACCAAGCTACTCGCCACGAAGATATCTTCTTCCAATCCATTCTTCGCAGCAAGACAATGGATGTCCGCCCCCTTCTCTAAGCAGCTCCTTCTCAAGCTCTCGCATTCCTGTCCCTTGGCAGCCAGATTCCGGCAGGCCGTAAGCGCCGCTAGGAGAGTCGATCGATCCAGCGAAGTGGCACAGTGCTGGAGCTGCTGGAACAGTCCCAGCGCGAGCTCGGGTTCCCCGTTCTGCGCGTATCCCAGCATGAGAGCGGTCCAGGAGACCAGATTCCGGCTGGGCATGGCGTCGAAGACCTTGCGCGCGTCGGCCATGCTGCCGCATTTGGAGTACATGCTTACCAGCGTCGTGGCGACGAAGATGTCCGCCGCGAGGCCGGATTGGATCGCATCGCCGTGGACGATCCTTCCCCGCAGGAGATCCCGCGCGCTGCCGCATTCCTTGAGCGCCAGGAGAAGCGAGGAGACACTGGGCTGTTGTAGCATTTGCATAAAGCCCTAAAGGAGGGACGATGTAATCAAATTCTAGGGCTTTGCTTTTTCGATCGATCTCTCGATCCAGCGCTCTATCGATTTCCTGATCCAGCGCGGCGATGTGGGCGACAAAGGCAATCCCAGGTCTGCAGCACCATGGATGAGAACGCATCTAGCTTGGGGAGCTCTTGATCGCCTGAAACTATAGATGGATCCTCTAGAAAAAGCCAGGGATGATATGCAAGCGATCTGGATGACATAATCGGACTGGGCGCGCGAAGATATAGTGGATTACTTCTTCTCGCGGACGACCAAGGAAGAGGAGAAAGAAGCACTCGTGGGGGTTTTCCACAAGGCCGGGATGTAGGATTTGTGGATATGGCTCGGTAGCTACTTCATTGCGTCTTGGTGGTTCTATACAAGAGGATGTGACGACTCTTGACGGTTGGCTAGTGATGTGGACCTTGTGCTTCCCAACACTCCTCCTCAAGGTTTCCGTCACCTAGCTTGAGTGTCTTTAGGAAGACTTGATGCTGTACACGAGGTAAAGCCTTGGTCAGGACGTCTGCCAGCATTGTGTTGGTAGGACAAAATTCCAGAAGAATTTTGCCTTTGTCAATGAGTTCCCACAAGGAACTCTCGATTCTATTCAAGAACGAAGCACATCAAACTGAGGTTCCATTTCATCTGAGAGACTGATTGTCACACTAAAGCTTGATGGGAGGGACTCGGATTCGCAAGTCTTCAAGCAGCTTGCTCAGCCACACTGCTTCTTTTGCTGCTGCTGCTGCTGCTACGTATTCTGATTCCGTTGAGGACATGGCTGTGATAGCCTGCTTCTTCGAGCATCAGCTCACCACGTTCCCATTCAGGAGGAAGACATAGCCTGTCGTTGATCTCCTGTCATTTACGTCTCCCGCCCAGTTGGCATCAGAGGTGGAGCTCTCTCCTCTGGAAAATTGAAGAGAGTAGTGCTTAGTTCCAGCAACCTCAGGATTCTCTTAACAGCAGCAAAGTGTTCTTGCGATAGATTTTCCAAGTACTTTGCCACGCAGCCTACCAAATCTGGCCTTGTTGAAATCACGAGATATATCAAGCTGCTGACCATCGAACGGTAGAGAGTTCTGGCGCTTTTCTCCTCCTCGGCAGTGCATTATGTCTCGGATGTAGAAGCTTTAGAAAGCTTAAGGCCTGAGGGCTTAGGAGTGGCCACAGGATTAGCATCGAGCATAGAGTACCTCTGAAGTACATCTAAGATGTATTTTTCTTGAGAGAGCTCGAGAATCCCATGTCTCCTGTTGCGTCGTACTTGGATTCCAAGGCAGTAATGCAGCTCACCAAGGTCCGCCATCTCGAATTTTGCAAAGAGATATGTCTTAAAAGGCAAAGGATTTCTCTTCCTAGAGCTTTATGTGGACACCATCCTCACTTCTAACCAAGTCCGGCTTATTCACTTTGCTTTGCATCTGGCACGTCTCTCTCTCCTCCAGCGCCTCGAGTCCCGTGATCCTCTCCATCAGCTGCCAGTTACTTGCTTCTCCAGCCTCGCCTTTGCACTTCCAAACTCCGCCATCACGTGCTCTCGCCGAGAGCTCCACCTCGTGCAGCGGATTCGACTCCGTCAGCCATTATCCCCTGGGGCTTCTCCTTCAAGAACTCCTGTCCGAACACTTCCCTCATTCCACCAGATGACAGAGAACGTCTAGCGTAGTCTGTCTTATAGTCTCTGCAGCCATCCGAAACCCCAGTCACGAGCAGCTTCAGCTATATCGTCTTCTCGCCATCTTGCAGCCATCTGACACTGGTTTACGTCGTTCCTCGCTACTACCATGGACAGCCTTACCGCAGCAGGCGCTCCTGAATCATCTCCGTCCACTGGAAAGCCGATAAGATAGATCCCTCCTTGCTCCAGACACTGTAGAGTGTAGCCCAACTTGATCCATTGATCTTCTCTTGACTTAGAAGAGTGTGGAGGCGGGCTAGCCTGTTTAGATGCCGAAGTTTGATGGACTCTGCTGCACTTCCAGCCGACTGCTCCGCCTGGAGCCTCGTCAACCGCCGCTTTCGACTCTCCATCTCGGCCACCATCTTCCGAAACTTTCAATTCCAGTCGTTGATCTTCCCTCGACTTAGAGTGTGGAGACTGGTCTTTAGCTCAGACTTGACGCTTTAGTGACCTGCTACTGTGGTGCTCGACTTGCTTGGATATTTGGCCACAGCTCCGAGTTTTCCCGCTCCAACTTTTGGATTTGATTTCCCTTGAAGCAATCTGACACTGAGTTCTTTGCTGATACTTTCATCCGAGCAGCTGTACGAGCATTCCTGGACAGCCCTGACCCGTTTTCAAAGTCTCCGTCAACTAGAGAGCTCTACCAGATGACAGAGAACGTCGAGTGTAGTCTGTCTTATAGTCTCTGCAGCCCTCTCTGTGAATCCGAATACCCCCACCGTCACGAGCAGCTTCAGCTATATCATATTCTCGCTATCACCATCTCGTTGCAGTCGTTCCCTTGCTACTATTCCTTCAAGCTGTGAACATTATACCGCAGCAGTATCTCCTGTCTCATCTCCGTCGACTGGAAAGCTGATAAGATAGATCCCTCCTTGCTCCAGACACTGTAGAGTGTAGTCAAACTTGATCCATTGATCTTCTCTTGACTTAGAAGAGTGTGGAGGCTGGTCGCTGGCCTGTTTAGACGCCTGAAGTGTGATGGACTTCTCCGCCTGGAGCCCTGAGACACGGTTGTCACGCACTGCTTTCACGTCTTGGACAGTTGCAAATCTTTGGAGTCGAGTCCTCGAGAAGGTCGATCTTCTCTCGACTTAACTGGTCTATAGCTTTAGTGGCCTCCTCCTGTGCTGCTCAACTTGCTTGGAGATCCAACTTCTGGATTTGACTCTTGAGAGTTGGCTTCTCCGATGCTAGAGTCCGAGCACTGGCCTCCAGTTGACCAATCCTTGCAGCCAACTTCTCGAGCTCGGAGCCAACTTCATTTCTCGTTTCTTCATTTTGGTCATGTTTGCTGTTGAGCTGCATGAACTCAGAATGGACTCATAGGATGTTGTATCTAAAAAAGAACAAATAAAAAGTTTTGTGTCTGCTAAATTCAATGTCATACAACAGTTTCAAAAAGCAAATTGGTGGCAGAAGTATGTGTGCTTGGTAACAAGATCGTCAAGCTCATGTGGTTCAGAGGAAGGAGGAGAAGCTGTTTTTAGTGATGGAGAGCATGTGGAGTTCAAGGACAATATTAGGGATGATGCTATTGCTTATATGGTGGAAGAATCGTCATCAGATGGAGATCAAGATGCAGAGAAACTTATTTTCGGTCTCAAGGAGATATTTGATTTCAGCCATATCCCACTAAAGAAGCAATCTTGAATTCTGAATAAAGAAGAACAGTATTTCTCTGTATTACAAACAATGCTTTATGAGGGATGCAAATTGTCTAGCTTCCCAACTTTAACAACTTCAAATAATACACTGTTATGACCTAGCACTAAATAACAAAGACAAAGATGTTTAACCTTGCATAAACTATGTTATGCCTTCTCTTGAGGTTCCTTTAATTATTCTACATATAGTTGAGTTATCAAATAGTGATTAAAAGTCTCTTCCTTTAATCAGAATAGTCTTTTTTGTCATCTTTACTTTGCAAATTTTGCAACTTTTTAGTATTCAACTTAATGCTAATAAAAGATTAACTATTCTTTTTTCTTTATTACTTATTCTTCAATTGTGAATAATCAGTTTTATAATATCTAAGTTCACCACAATGATGACATAAATTGGTGATGATCATAAATTTGGAATCTAACTTGCCACAACATTTGATACAATCCTTTCTACTAAGCAAAGAGCCCATTAGGTAAATTATACACTATAAAATTGGGAAAATAAACAAATACCAATCATCCACTTTTGTAGCGCACTTGGTTTTTACCTCCTATCCTATAATGATTTATCATAGGATAACACTATGAAGTGGAACCTAAACCCTCCATGTGCCATATGTCATATGCCATGTGTCACATGCCACGTGTCCAAAGGACAAGTGGTGTGGAACCTGAGGTTCAAGGCCTTGGGCCACTAAACGAAAGAACAAATCCCAAACTACCAAGCATGGAGCTAAGTGACGGAACTGGACCATAAAGCAACTCCCAAGCATATAGCCAAAGGAGTGAAGGGACAGGAGCCTAGAGTGACTTGAAACAGTCATAGAGCAACCAACATCCTAATGACAAGATCAGCATGCAAAACGGAGCCAAACGGAGTCTAGTGTTATTTTGGAATACCGGTGGCCTAACATAAAGACATGGGTACTTCACTAGCTAGTATGGTGTGGAACTTGGGCTTAGACCTAAGCCAAATGCAAAACAAAGAGAAACATGTAAGCAAGAGTTAAACTATGCCTCAGGTTGATCAGCCATGTGCGACCTACCCACTATCCCTACTATACATTTGGAACCCCCCATAGCCTCCATCCCCCCCCCTTTGAGGAACACACGCTTTGGGCTTTCACCCCAAGCTTCCCTTAGTACCAGAAGTTAGTCTCTAGAATAAGCTTAAAACTTACTAAATATGGAATGTTCTTAGATTGCAAATTTGGATACGAGACGAACATTATTGTGTTCATGAGAATCTCTACATTCCGTAGATATGCTAAATAAGCAAATTTGGACACTTTTTATAAATAGCATTTGGGACCAAAATGAGACTAACACAAAAGGTATGATAGTAAGAGTGTTTGGTAGACACGATAAGCTATCATCTAACAATATTGAGGGACCAAACTCAATATTATGCGGGTTCTTAATACTAGCAAGTACAAGCCAATGACACAAGTTTCTCAAACTAGGCTGAGTATGCTCAGCAAGAAACACATAGGGGTTCCTACGTTATATTTATCCAATCTAAGTGCATGGTTATTGATTAATTTCTCAATTATCCCAAGTGAGAACTGATAATGGGTCCAACAATACTGACCTCCTGCTATCGTGGCAGTAAGGAAATTGTGTCCGTAAGGACTAGCCGACAAGTAAC